TGTAAGTTGTGTTGTGTATTGACTAATTTTTAAAACAACGTGTGTGTAAAACATTAGACGTCATTGTACCCCTTTTCGGTGTGTATTTTGCTAGGTTTAAAGTAGAGATGAACAGGATAACTTAATTCGCAACGCCTTAGTTTAACTCGTGATGGACTATTTATTTTTGTTATGTTTTTCTCCGATTTCGAAAAGCATATTTCCGATTCCAATGCCAAAATCAACCACAGGTTTCACATGTGGATCATTATCTTCATCACCTAAATATAAAGAATTGTTACATTGTGTCCACTTGCCTAATTTATATATTATAGTATTATAAGAACGTTGTTTGTTTCTTTTTTACGGTCGTTCATCATCTTTTATAATGAAATCATGTGTCAAATCAATATACATAATGCCAATTTACCATAACAAGATGTATAAAATGATGGTCTTTAGATAACCAAAACTTATCAAACAAAAAATGTGTTAAAATATGATTTAATTAATGTTGACTTCTTATGTTTTGTGGCCACAAGAAAACGTATATTTTTGATTAATAACGATATTTACCCTTTCTTCAATTTGTGCAAAAAAATGAAGGCGAAAGAGAGAAACTGTAAAAATTATCAGTAAGAAGCGACCTAAAAATAAGAGTTTTTAGTCATGAAATATATTTCATAGTCTACCACATTGGAGAATGGCCATTGTTGAAGATGCTGCAAAGAGATCCATGTGAGCCACAGTGTTTTTTAGAGCGAGAGCGAGGCTCTAGTTTTATTCCATTTCCGTCTAAATCAGTCACTCTGGTATTCTTCAAATCTTTCAGTATTTTGATACACGGTTAGTAGTGGTTTTGTGTTCCTTTATAGAAACAACATGGCGTTGTGGAAAAGACTGAAACATTTCGATCGGACAACAGATAACGAAATTGATGATGAATTAAAAGCTAATAAGATGTTATTGATATTGTTGGCATTTGTTTTTGTATATACCAATGGAAGTAGGTTCTTTATAAAGAAGACTTGATCACTTTGATAGGCCACTAGTCTTAATGCCAAATGTTAAGATAGTCGGTAAGATAAATTCGTAACACAGTGTGCTACTGACCTAATACAAAATATATTGGGTCAATAAATTTCATATGGGGTTCTAGCTTCGCGTATTGATTTTGTGTCATGAATTAATATACCCCATCATTTCTTTTCCATTAATAGCTACAGTCTATAGATAAACGCGGTCAAAATCCTGTACACACATTAACTATGGGCATGTCAGGAAATATGAGCAGTCAAGCAAATTAACTATATCAATAACAGTCCAATTCATGTCTACTTTTTAAAATAAATTTATAGAGATCAGTCTTAAACACAATCACAAACGGGGTAAAGCTGGTGTGTCCCAGAATTTAATTTGAACATACCTGTCCTGGATCTGGTCTGCTACCTTAAAATAAACTATATTATATTATATGGCCCAAACACCATGTTAGTTTGGTTCACTGCAATGTCCTATCATGAGCAGCAACAACAAAAAACAAGAACTAAAATTATAAAGTAGATACTTTTTATTTATATGTATTCTTTTTGTACTTTGCACATTTTTCGTAAAATAGCTAACTCTATACGTTACGAGGTTGTTAAAGAGTTAATTTCTGTTTACTGTGTTGCTATTTGTCTTTCACGTTTTTTTTTCTGTAAATCTTCTTAAGTCTTCCGAAACTCGTCCTGTCTGTATGACCCTAATTACATTAGCGTTGGAAAAGTATCATCAATGAATACAATGCAGTCCTTCGTAGTAGTGACCTTAAGCCTGTGGCAGATCAGACCAAAGTCTATTTTGGAATAAGTATGGTTCGATCAAAGCAGGCAAGATCAAATGGCAAATTAAAATGTGTGCAAGACTGGTTTTGACAAACATATACCCTGTAAACTTTAGTGAAAAATCTGTCAAAAGTTTTCTTTTTCTGACGTCGTAACGACAGTCCTATGACATACGGGGTAAAAATCGAAAGACATATATTTCAAATGATAACAAATAAAGTATCTATACAATAAAGCAACCTAAATATTGCCCCAGAACTACAAAGGCTATGACTAAATCAAACCACCAAAAATCAGCATCTAACCATCATCACCAAATTCATCTAGATCATGTTCTTTAAAATCTGTTCTTACAGGCATGCGAATTAAGATAAAATCAATAAAAAGACACGACAACGAACAACAAATGGTATTGATAGCCTTCTGTTATCCAATTGACATCTCGTCATAAACCTTTCCAATAATTTGTTTATCCCTCTATCGTTTTTTCCAGACTGAGAAAATGACTTTAAATTTGAAGACTTAAATGACTAGTTTTAATCCCGTTTATTGTGTTTGTCCTAAGTTCGACTGCGTGTTGTTTTTCTCTAATTGTTACTCGATATTAGCATTCTTTCGATAATTAGTGATTGAGGTATTATGGTATAATTTAGAACATACTCACCCCGTCTCGTCCAATGGAAAATCATTTATTTCCCTTCGAATTTTCATAGTACATGGCTTTCCATGCACTATAAAATGCTATACATGAATGACTTTCCATTGCAGATTAATCATGAAAGTGAACTCTTTATGACTACAATAATGAAGTGTAAGATCCCAACAGGGAAAAGAGTAAGAGAAAACATCATGAGTACTATTGTTTGTCTAATTTTTGAAAATGAAAACAGGAGAATAGAAACGTTGTATACGCTATATAGTGGTAAATATATTGAACCCCCCCCCCCCCCCCCCCCCTAAAAAAATGACAAAAAGAATTGAAAAGGGGAGAAATGTGCAGGTAAAATGATATTTAATATAATTCTTATACGAAACATTAAAATCAATGGATTTTTAGGAAACAATGACTGTTGATAAAAAAAATACATTCATCAATAAAAAAAATAAGCATCTGACGTTGAAACGATTGTAATTTTGAAAATCATTATTGAAGTTTTATTATTATTCATAAATTATACAATTTTAGAAAACTGATTTATATAACATTACGTCCTTTTTAAAACGAAGGAATTTTAGATATGTAAGTGTTAAACTATACATGAAGCAGAAGAAATCTTCATTTTTGAATCACAAAACTATCGCATTGCTATTTCTTTCTATCTGTTGGAATTACCATTTAATATGATATACATCCATTTTACTAACCATGTTAACGCTTAGAGTGAGCTCATATTCAGGTTAAAGTATTACAATGGGAGAGGCTAATTTTGTTATGTCACTCGAAGGTGTGAATATGTTCTAAATTGGTCAGACAATACTTGGTCATATTTTATGATCATTTAAAACCCTCGGCTACGCCTCGGGCTTTAAATATTCATAAAACATGACCAAGTATTATCTCACCTATAAATAATCTGCATGCACAATGTATGAACATTTGTGAAGATGAACAGATTAACAAACGAGATAAACAACTGTTCATTATTTGAATATAATAGGATTAAACACATTTTTTCTAGAGGTTATTGATGTGTAAACCGGGGCGATTAACTCACAAACTGAATAAAAGTCCGAACTAGAGGTTATGTGAGTTCGTGGTCTAGTGGTTAAGACCGATGGCTACAGTACTGAAGGTCCCGAGTTCGATTCTCACTCGGGGTGCTAAAAATATCAGTACATCAGAAGGGTGATTTTCACCCTCTCACACACATCTCTGGTACCCAGACCGGAGTTTAAACCAGAATGGGTACTATGGGGGCCTCGGTAGGTCAAAGTTGCTCCCGACTTTGACCTGGAGATCAATCTGCTGACATCTCTTCGGTTTGTCTGTTCCCGCCGAGCAGCCCGGTGGTTCTCTCCGAGTACTTCGGCTTCCTCCACCATAATAACAGATCCGCCCGGTATCTTAACACTCCCTGGTGTTGGGGTGGGGATTGTCCTTGTAAATATTGAACATTGTAAATACGTTAGTGACACATCTCCATTACTCCCGATAGGGATTGTACACGGATTCCACTGTACCCTCGCAGCTCTCGAGGGGTGCTCCGTAAACGGAGGGATCTACGTACATACATACATACATTGATGTGTAAACTGGGGCGATTAACTTACAAACTGAATAAAAGTCCGAACTAGAGGTTATTGATGTGTAAACTGGGAATAACTCACAAACTGAATAAAAGTCCGAAAAACTTTGTAAGAAAGCGACCCAGTTTACACATCAATAACCTCTAGAAAACATGTGTTTAATCCTTATAATTCTGAAGCCAAAGATTTGCAATTCTTGATTAATAAATTTTGTACATTGGCTAATGTTTACCATCAAATGCAAAATTGGCATGTCGTAACTATATTGACTTTCTAAAATCCATAACTGTTCGATTAGTGCAATAGAATCAAAACTGAAAAAGCACCTACCTCAAAAACTTCATTTTAATGAGATGTTAACTGAATTTGAAGCGTACAAGTAACGAAATAATCTTCAGCCTGAAAGTTTTCATTCGTATGACGTCATGTTATGCCATGACATTAACGCGCCAAAATCATTCATCATATTTCTTTGAATTTTGTTTTCTTTCAATTTCATACATTTTCCAAGTATTATTAATGCATTATATCTTTTTTGTCATGCGTTAATAAAAACTGTTATGTTTTTGTTTTTTATCTCATTTTGCTTAGATCCCATATATAGCATGAATAGATCACAGTGAAGGTTATGAAAGTAGTTTCGGCAACATGGTTTATCGAAGTGTAAACCAAACCAAAAATGTCTAACAGATCAATCCGTTTCAAGTATTTGTAGATATGCAAATCATAAAGGAATTATCTTTTGTTATCCAGTTATCCTTATGTCGTCATCATGATTTTTTAATCTGCATACATAAAACATTTCATGACATAGAATTTCATACGATTCCGTAATTTTCATTGGCTGCGGCATTCCAGAAATTCAAATTTATATCCGTATAGAATGCAACGTCTATGACTACGTGTGCTATCCGTGATAATATTAAAACAATGCATAACAAAACCAAATGAAAGGCTTGATTTTACTCGTAAGTTCATGGTTGTAGCTTACAAATGTAATAATATGAATTGAATTCTTCTTTTTGTAATGGTATAGTGGGTGTAAACGCGTTGAACGTGCGCACATTTTTAGACTGAAACGCTTCCACACGTCATACAAAATATGTTTCGATCAACGCTTGTACAACGGGCCCGGGCCGATAAAATTACAAAAAGAAGCATTTAACTCTTAATTGTAAGAACGTGTAATCTGAAATAAAGGTTAAATTGTTTTCATTTACATTGTAATTAATACGTAGTTATAACAGTTTATTCACTGATATGCCTATTATTGCATATCGTACACAATTATACATAAAACATTATAAGAAACATTTAAACCCTTTGGTCTATTCATTTTATGAGTACCATGGTAATTTCAACATGTCAACATTTCCACCACATAATATAACTCCGATTTTCTTTATACTAGGATCCATCTGTTTTAACTTCTCTGACATGGCAGCAGCTACTGTAGCTCCAGCGGCGGCTTCTATTACCATCTTAAATAGATATAAACATAAGTATTTTGAAACAGTTTCAAAATAGTGTTGTCTTGGGTTTTTTTTCAAGAATTGCATGATTCTGGCCTATATTCATATGTGGTACTTTTATTTCATTTGAAGTTATATTGCACTAATCAATATCAATATAATCAATATACATGATGGCTATTTCCAAAAAAAAAAAAAAAAACATTTGTTGGAAATACCCTTTGATATTAAAGGTCATTTGCTCTAGGCCTTTACATTTTATAATTTGATTATCATCATAGAACGTGTTCTGAGAAACTTGTTTTTTTTTCTTTATGAATGTTTGTGTGTGTAATTAAATTCTGTCAGGTATTAAAATTTGTCCCCCAGACTTTGTTTCCTAGGTAATCATGTCCATGACCATAATTTTACTACAAAAGTAAGTCTCAGGATATTTTTTTTTCTAGGAAAATATGTCCATCTAGTAAATTATGTCTGGAACGTATTTTCGCAGGAAATTTTCAAAATTGTATCGAACTCTTCTGAAAATGACCAAATTATTATATATAAAATATTTGAATTATGAAAAAATCTAATTCCCTAGGAAAAAATACCCTTAAAATTTCAATTCTTAAGATATTCCTTAATATTGATTTAAATTTGTTTAAAAGCACATTGAGTGTTGAATATATAAGTTTACCTTCATATACCGGAAAGAGAACACCATTCCCTTAATCATATCTTCATTTTCCTAAATAAAATAATCCATATGATTAGATAGTAAGTAAGTCCGTGCCAGTGAAATAAATTAGGTAAACATATTGCCCTAGAATATTCGTGATAAAGTGGATTATCAGTTGAAAAGAAGTAAACTCAAAGTGCAGTGAAGAGTAATTTTTTGTTTTTTCTTATTTTTTTTTTTTGGGGGGGGGGGGGGGGAGGTACGAAAAAGAAAGCTCACTTCCATTCCGGTCTTTTCTGCAATTATATTTCATTCGTTTTCGTTGTACTGATCTGTGTGCGATTCTAAGCTTGAAATATTGTAAAAGACATCGGTTCACTTTTGAGGAAAATATGTTAACGTTATTCTCCCGATGTCGATTGTATTTGTTATCTGGTTACAGTCTCATTGGCCTCATTTTTGCTGTATGCACATATAATGACTTTTCAAATGCAGTAATAAATTTGCACCTTTTACGCTGCATGATAGGGGAGTTTTCGTGTCAATTTGACAGTTTCATTATTATATATTACTACTTTTATTGTCATATAATTAAACTCTTTTTCATTTAACTTCCATAATCGATCTATATATAGGCAAATCTGAAAGAGTCCATCTAGTTACTTTTATATTAAACTCTTAAAATCTTCTAAGCCTCTGTGTGTTTGCTTAAAACTTCTATTGCCAAGTGCATTTGTTGTTCGCAATGATGTTTTAGTGTTCTTCGTGCTAAATATAGAAGTATTCGTTTCCTATAAATAAACACCTTCTATTTTTGTCTTCTGCATTTTTCAATTCTACTCTCTTCTTGCCATTATGAAATAGCAAAACACAATCGGAATAATTTGTAAAAAACATGTGTTTTTTTTTTTGTTTTTTTTTTTTCCAGTTTAGAGACATGTGGTGTCAGTTGCCACCGCGTCAAACATTAACACTAAAAGTGAACTTAATGCACATAAATTATTACATGTGCAAAGAACTTTTACACACGTTGGAGCATGCATGAATATACTATTGAAACTTTTACAAAATCCTTCAAAAAATATAGCAAATTTTACAAATACTTTCATTGGACGTTTTACCTCTAACCCTATTTCAGTATTGTTTGTGATAATTTTCATATTTCAATTGCTTATTTTATTCATAGGTTACTCTAAAATGTCTGTGTTCAGTTCAATCTCAAACGTAAAAATGTGTAATTATAATTGCAAACAATAATTTGTGACTAAACGGGAATAATTCTGAATCCAATTTAGCGCTATAGCAATTTTTATCTTATCTTAATATTGCAAAAACTCAAACTATGCAAATGTCATCTATAAGTGAATTCGAATATACACCTTTTCAATGTGACTCCATTTGTTCTGTATGAATTAATCATGTAGTTTAGAGTATTATATAAAAGTTGAAATGTCTATATTTTATCAAATGATTATTTTTGTATGATCTACATTTATTATAATGAATATCCTTCAGAACATTGTTTCAATTTTTTTCAAAACCAGATAGTGGGTTTGTCACAATATTACAAAAAAGGATGAAAAAAGCCTTATGTCATGCATTTCATCATCCTTATTAAGAAAAAAAAAAAAACAAAAAACACTTATTTCGGAAACACGACTATTTTATACTCTTAAGCATTCATCTTACTTGACACAGTTGGCAAGGTTGCAACCCAATATTTAGTGTTCTAAATAATGTTTTGTGTCTTTTCTCTTTAGTAAATGGTATTGTTTGTAAGTTTTTATTCTTCTTGGTGTATCGCTGACCTTACACTACCTTTCAGTAAATTGTCCACTTTAATTGTTAAATTATTTTTATACTTTGAAACGTGAAGTAATCATTAAGGATGTTCGTTACTGGTTTTGACTTTTTGTCAGATGTTCGGAATTCTCTAAGTTTTATCGATATAGTGCCAATACAATTTTTTTCCTGCTAGCCCCTACTTTTCTTTTCATACTTTTATTACATATAGTTTAAAAAGCCATTTTTAAAAAACTTATAACATCCTTGTTATTTTTTCATAGTTTCTGGAAGAAAAAAGGTGCCAATATTAAATATATGGAAAATATAGAGAGAATCGTTTCCCGCCAAATTTAGAATTGCTTATATTTCAAAAACAAGGTCTCGGACCTTTCATTGTTTTTCTGCTTTTTAAGTTCCGTTATTTATATACTTATACTTTATAACAGTAATTTAAAAAGCGTGTTATTTTGAAACAGAGCAGCTAACATCTTTAAATACGAAAAAAATATTATATTAAAAACAAGTACAGTTACAAATAGAACAACTCTTTGTTTCAAAACACTAAATTTTAACACTGGTAGTTTAAACATATTTTATTGTTCAAAAATGACAAATGGATTAGACACAAGTTTTTCAACTTAGTAACGTCTTCTCCAATATATACATAAATATACACATGAATGAACATTACATAAATCTGACTTTAACCAATTATTATTTTAGCATGAAGATATAAAAATAAGTTACATACAAATTTTAAGAATCGAATCAATGGATATTTACCACTTAATATAACCAATCGAATGCGCCTATTTTCAGTAGAAATAAATACAAACACACCGAGCTGTGTCAAATAAAATATGTTAGTGTACATGACAAGTCATGTGAGTAAATTTGTTTAAATGTAAATTACACACTCATAGTTTAAAGTTACGGATTAACAGGAAAACGGAATAAATCTACACATAATTGTAAGTATCAATTTTGTTTTTTACTTAAATCCATGGAAACGTTTCAGAATACAAAAGTCAATCATAAAGATCATTCGATTATCGTACCCCTAAGAGCATACATTGATCATGTTCTAGTAAGATCTGTTACAGAATAAGGTTGTCAAAGTTGAGAAAAACGCTTGGTACTTTTTATATACTTTTGTACAGATAGAAAAACACTATAATTTTCTTCAGAACTCAAAGACTCATCACCAGAGAGCAATAACTCAATTGTAATATTGACAGCAAAAACATTGATTTCATTTATCATTAAAAGCCTTTGTGATGAAAAATTGTTACAATATAATAAATAATGTTTAGCATCTTCATTGATGAAGCCACATAAACAATTGGCATCTTGTACTAAGTTTGCATTAAACAAATCTGATTGAAGAGTGCTACAATGGTTTCGCAACCTTGCATGTAATACAGATAGTAAGCGATCTCCAGAGTAAAAATGTCTCGGAGATTTTTTATTCTTATAGTATAACATATGCAATTTGCTTTTAAATAATGAAAATGTAGGAATCTGTCTAATAATAATATCTAAAGTGTTCCACAATGTTATGGATGCTGGGAAATAAGAATGTTGATAAACCGACAAACGATTCACTGGAATAGTGATATTGTGTCTGTTTCGTAAATTGTAATTACTAATATCAGATACAAATTCTGGAACCAAGTCATGTAGATAATCTGGAGCCTGATTGTTAATAATTTTATAAAACATGGCCAACTTTTTTACCTCCCGCCTTACGCTTAATTTTTCCCATCCCGTCTCCCTGTAAATAGCGTTTCGGCTAGCATAACTTGGTAATCCAGTAACAATGCGAGCAGCCTCGATTTGAATATTTTCTATCCGATCAGAATTTATGTTCCCACAATTATCCCAAACTTCTGATGAATACTCAAGTATCGGACGAATAAATATCATATAAATTTTTTCCAAATATTCCCTTTTTAATCGATATTTTAGTTTGCGTAAAACATTAAGCTGCTTCGAAGTTTTCTCAATCAGTTTATCAACATGCTTATTCCATTTACAATCATTACTAAATATGACACCTAGATGTTTGTGCGCACTAACTGGTTTCAATGTAGCACCACCAAAATCAAAAGTAATATCACTGTATATATTTTTCAAACTGAATATCATAATATCAGTTTTATTAGGATTAAACTTCACTAGCCATTTTTCTGACCACTTACTTAAATAATCAAGATCTCTACTGATCGAACTTTTTAAAGTGGATTCATCATGTGCAGTATGACCTATTGAAGTATCATCTGCAAAAAGCCTTCCGAATCCAGACATACCATCAGCTATATCATTAATGTATATTAAAAACAACAAGGGTCCTAATACCGACCCCTGGGGCACACCAGCGTTAAGTTTTCCAATGTTTGATAATGAATCTTTTATGACAACTCTCTGAGATCGTCTAGACAAGTAACTTTTCAACCAACATAGCAAGTCTCCTTTTATACCATATTTTTCAAGTTTATGTAATAAAGCCTTAATCCAAACAGTATCAAATGCTTTGCTTATATCAGCAAATGTAATGCTTGTTAAAAGCTTTTCATTTAGTGCACTCAAAATTTTGTTATACAATTCTATCAACTGATGCGAAGTTGAGTATCCTGGAATAAATCCGGATTGATACTTGTATAATAGTTTATTTTCATGTAAATGGTTAAAAATATTTTTGAAAACAATCTTTTCTAAGACTTTACTCACACATGACAATAATGAGACTGGCCTGTAGTTAGACGGTAATGACTTGTCACCACTTTTGAATAAGGGAATAACATGTGCAATCTTCCATTGGTCTGGAAATATTTTATCATTTAAAGATTTGTTAAAAAGTAGACATAATGGTTTGGAAATTTCATTTCTAACAGCAAGTAACATTCTGTTGCTAACGATATCTGGTCCAACAGCTTTATTAACATCGAGCGTTGAAAGAATATCAAGTACATCTTGTTCACTAACTACAATTTGTGAAATAAAATCAAGACATCGGTCTTCAAATTCCGGCAAATCTTTACTAGCGCCATCTAAATTAGAAATTGAACAAAAATATTTATTTAAAATGTCGGACTTTTCGGTTCCCTCATACGCAAGTTTAAAGTTATGATCAGGGTCCGTCATTGGTGGTAAATCATGAGACGGTGTATCACTTTTAATTAACATGTTAACCGTTTTCCAGTACTGTTTACAGTTTGTAACTTTTAGTTCATCTAAATTTTCATTAATACTGGTAAAAAAATGTTTTTTAGCTTGCTTTTTCAAGTTATTTACTTTGTTCCTTTGTTGTTTAAATTTCTTTTCTGCGGATGTACTATTTGAGCGAATAAAAATATTACGAAGCCTGTCGCGTTTTCTCGTTTCATGCCGCAAATTCGAATCATACCAAACTTTATCGTCACATCTTATAGTTACTTCCCTTGTAGGTATACACTCGGAGGCTATATTAAGAAATGAATTCGTGAAATTAGTCGCAGCAACATGAACGTCACTTGCATCAGAAATTAAATATTCCCAATTTGTTTCAACTACTTTTTGTTTCATTAGGTCATAATCACCTTTTTTATAATCCCATATCAATCTATTATAAGTTCGTCTTTTACTAAAACCACAATCAATTGTGACGTATGTTCCATCATGATCACTAATACCTCTATCAAAAGGTATTGTGTCTTTATCTAAAACCGGTATCGAATCAGTGACTAAAATAGGATCAAGTAAAGACGTGCTACCTGTTCGTGTGTCAAAATGAGTAGCTTTGTCAATTATGTTAACAAGGCCATTGATGAAAAAAATATCTCTTATATTTGACGGTAGATCTGACATAAAGTTTTTATTCAGATCACCTAAGCAAATTATGCAATTATTTTCATCCAGGGCATTTTTCAACATTTGATCCAAATACTGCCAGAAATAAAGTGAAGATTGCCGTTCCGACCTATAATTGATGTTTATCAATATTGATCGCAATTTGGTTTTTAACTCAAACCACATACTCTCAAGTTGGCAATTCTCCAAATCATGTCGACGAGTTATGCGAACATAACTTTTATAATACATAATAATGCCACCCCCATGAGAATTTCTATCTTTTCGAACTGGTATTTCAAAACCGGATATATATAAATCAGAATCTGTAATATTTGAGTCTAAATGGGTTTCTGTCAAGAATACGACATCGTAATCTTCAATAATATCGACAATATAATTCAGTTTATTTCTAAGGCTTCTTATATTACCATGGAAAATTGACAATGTTTTCTCAGATATTTCTGGTGTGCGCTCAGGACCCGGGTTCGGTTCGATGTCACCACATATTAGCAACAAACATAATAACAGTATGTAAAATGAAATCATATTAGCAGAAGATCTGTATAAATTAAAAATACATAGTTTGAGTCTTGAAACATTCGTAAATAAAACGGCAAGTAACTCATACACTGAGAACGATACAAATGTTTTTCTCAAACAACCCAGACTTATCTTGTGATAAAACAGTCCTATTGTCATTCTATATGCTACGATGTCATTACCCATTGTCAAATACAAGACAATACATATAAATGACAATCAGAAAATTGGACTGCTTTGTAAAACATGATGCAAGATATAAACACATATAGTTCGAATGATCATTCATGAAATTCAGGCAAATAAAAAAGAAGGGAAAACAAAAATCTATGTACAAAAGGCAAAATTGGAACATCATAAGAATGTTCGATGCAGTTGTAGTGAAATCAGAGAGATTAATTTAGTTAAGATGAATTTAGTTTCGATGTCATTTTAGGGGGGAAACAAATAAATCAAATAAATCAGAAAACAAAATTTGAAGTTTTTTTTTTTAAAACGGAAGCTCTTTTGTGAAAAGTTGTAAATAGGTAAATAGAGTAATCTATCTTTTCATTTAATCAATACAGGTAAGCTATAAAAACGTTTGAAGAACGATCATTGATAAAGTTACAGGAACGACACAAGTTCACGTGTATGTAAGTGATTTTAAATCACTCAGGTGTAAAGAGTTGAGTTATAATTTCATGTCACATGTTTTAAATAGCAAATAAATGAAATATAAATAAACAAACACAGGCACGTGCTGCTTAACACGTGTATCGAAAAAAGAAATATTCAGTACAGCAATACATAGAAAACAAGTATATATATACAAGTGTATATAATTAAATTGATAAAACAATTTAAGAATTGTGTTATTTAAACAAATGCAAGTCAAAAGACATAAGACTATGATGTAAACGGAATGTCTAATCCTCTTTCTGGTCATCACCTGCAAGGACTTCCCCACCAAGCTTATATATGTCCTGCCTTGAAATTACCACTTTCGGACGAGAATTCTCAGATTGTTTAATCAATATTGACCCGTCATGTGTCCAAAACGAATTTATTTGACCTTTCTCACGCAATGTGTTTAGTCTGTGCAAAAGATTGTATCTGTGTTTTGTAAGGTTTTCAGCAATGAAAGTTTTGTTTATGTTTCCTTTCAATTTGCGTTTATTGCTGAAAACTAACTGCCTTTGACGATACGACAGGAACCGTACAATGATAGAAATTTTCCCGTCTTTAATCTCACCTATGGGATGGGATCTGCCAATATCTCTCGTGTCTAACTTCAATTTCAAATGCTTATGGCAAATACCAAGGATAAGGGAATCTGTGTCTATAGGCTTGATAATATCGCCTTTGTCGTCAGTTGGTGCAGGAACATTATGGAATCGTAAACTGGTTCTTCGAGAATACTGTTCCTGTTCCTCGACTCTGGCTTCGATCTTGTCTAATTTGCGGTTTAAAGAATTTATTTGCTCTTTTTGATTGTTAAGTTCAATATCTTTCAAAATAAGTGCTTCTTTATTGTGTTTAATGGTAAGTAAGTGAGGCTGAATACATTCGTCAACGATCAGTGCAATTTTAGGTTTGACCATTTCAATTACTTTTTCAGTGATGAGAGGAATGATGGAGTTCAAAAACTCTTGATTTTTTAGCGTAGCACAAACAACATCCGATAGCTTAAATACAGTTTCATTTTCAATGGATGATATTATCTGTTCAGAACTGTCATGTTCAGAAACGATAGAGCCACTGAGAGATGAATCAAGGTTGGCTGTTCTTGCTACCTTTTCAACTTGTTGCATAGATGGAGATAAGTTGTCGGGACTACTGGATGGTTGTAACCTTTTACCACTATGTTTTGGTGTATTTTTAAAATAACTGTCTATGTTTGATTGTTGTTGTTGTTTGTCATTCGTTACCTGGTCAGCCATTTTGTGTGTTGTGAACTCCAATTCAAAATCACTTTCGAAAATCTTTGCAAAAGTCACTATTTGGTCACTCAAAATTCGAATAAACTATAACAGCTTCACACATAATGTCTATTCTGATATAGAATCAGAAAACATCTCAACATAATACACTGGAAAATATAATTTTTCTCTCTTTTTAGTCTCCCAAAATTTTCACACCTTCATACTCAAGGGTTCGACGAGTAGTAATAACACTGGTGTTAGTGATTGTCATCATATGATATCTACTTTTATAAAAGGTCATACACCTAATTGTGTAAACAGCAAGACACAATATAGAAGTTTTAAAACTTTTAATGTTGATAATTATATTAATGATCTTGATAATATAATTTTTTTACATGATTCAGATGAATGTATAGATGATATAAACTAGGTATAATTATAATGATTTTGAAACTAAAGTCTCTGATGTGATAAACTGTCATGCACCAATGAAATACAGATACCCTCGAAAAAAACTCGGTACCATATATGAACAGAGAACTAAGAAAAGCTATTTTTCACAAACAAATGCTGAGAACAAAATTTGAAAAATACAAAACAAACAAAACTTGGGAAGCATATAGAAAACAAAGAAATATGGTTACAAAATTAAAAAGAAAATCAGCGAAATTTATTTTCAAGAAAGATGTGCTGGAGGACAAAAATCAAAATTCTTTTACAGCACAGTCAAGCCATTTTTATCTAAAAAGTTTGCCTGAAGCCAACAAAAAATTGTACTTGTGGATGAAAATAAAATTTTAAACGACACTAAAGATGTTTGTGACAACTTTAATACTGTTTTGTTAATGTTACCAATGACATAGGCAAAGGTACTATTTTTGAAGAAAAAACACATCCTAGTATTTTAAAAATTAAATCTAACATACAACATGATAAACTTTTTGATTTTAAACCTATACATGTTGACACTGTAGACAAACTGGTGAAAAAGATAAATATAAAAAAGCTACTGGAGTAGATCAGATATCATCGAAACTATTACGAGCTGGTGCACCAGTACTGAACAAACACATAACAACACTAATAAATAACACTATAGAATCCAGTGAGTTTCCAAACATACTTGAAGAAGCTCAGGTTGTACCATTACACAAAAAGAACGATCCACAGGATAAAAAGAGCTATAGACCTGTGAGCATTTTACCAACAATTTCAAAAGTATATGAAATGGTTATGTCTGACCAGTTGACTGAATTTTTTGAAAATATATTTCATGCTTTTTTATGTGCATTCAGAAAAGGTCATGGATGTCAGACAACTTTGCTTAGACTCCTTGAAGATTGGAAAACAGCTTTGGATAAAAATATGTATGTGGCAGCTATACTTATGGATTTTTCGAAAGCTTTTGACTGTCTACCACATTATATTCTTTTAAGTAAATTATCTGCCTACGGTCTTTCTTCTGAATTAGTGAAATTACTTCAAAATTATCTTACAGATCGTAGGCAACAAATCAAACTTCAGGGAGTACTCAGCAGTTGGGCTGACATCCAGAAAGGGGTACCCCAAGGCTCAATCCTGGGATCCCTATTATTTAATATTTTTATAAATGACATATTCTATTTTATTGAACATGGTACCCTGTATAATTATGCTGATGATAATACTCCGTCATATGCTGACAACAATTTTGAAAATTTATTGTGTACACTTGAAAGAGAAAGTGCTGTTTTAATTGACTGGTTTAGATTTAATTGTATGCAGGCAAATCCTGATAAATTCCAAGCCATTGCAGTTGGAAATAAAACATTTGCAAAAAAAGCCTGTTTTTAATATACAGTCAGCAAAAATATCCTGTGATGAGATTGTCAAACTTTTAGGTATTGATATTGACTATCAACTTAATTTTAATCACCACATTAAAAATATTTGTCGTAAAGCATCTCAACAACTGAATGTTTTAAAGCGCATTGGCTGCTACTTTACTAAATTAAATAAATTGACCATTTTCCACACATTTATTTTATCTAATTTTAATTTTTGTCCTTTGGCATGGCATTTTTGCAACAAAAATAACACCACTAAATAAGAAAAAAAATCAGGAAAGGGCTTTACGATTCATATATAAAAACTATGCTACATGTAGTCAAATGATGAACTACTTTTACGAGCAAAGGTTCCATCACTGAAAATAAGACGTATGCGTAACATGGCTATTGAATGTTTTAAATTTTTATATAAATTGTCACCACCATGTTTACATGATTTAGTTGTATTGAAAGATTGTAAATATAATTTTAGATATTCTAATATTGTAGATATACCTAGGGTCCGAACATCAACCTATGGTAAGAACTCTTTTAAATACACAGCTGCTGTTTTATGGAATGATCTACCTGATGATTTTAGAAAAATTGCTAATTTTAGCCAGTTCAAAAATATTTTAAAGTCGTGGAATGGAAATGACTGTAAGTGCACAGTTTGTGCAGATTTTTAGTTAATATATTATGCTAAAATTATTTAACAATTGGATCATACCCCCTTTTTTTCTTTAAAACATTTTATGCTATGCATTTTACCAGCTTTTATGCCTAGTTTACACTTATATGCTTTTAGCTTTAATACCTAGCTTATGCTTATATTCTGCTTATTACCATCATGCTTTTAGCATTTTGTGCTGTGTAATGTATTCCATGTGTATTATGTGTTGTATTGTTATATGTTGTATTGCTATAAATGTCTTGTATGTCGGTTAAAAGCTCATTAGAACTTATGTTGTCTCTGTTTGTATACCTTGCCGACTCTAAATAAAGCTTATTTATTTATTATTTATTATTATTTATTATAGTTAATGTTCTTTATCTAGAGAACCTATACGTTTGGTGGACTTATTCTAATTGAAAGCAGTATTCACGAAAATAGATTACATATATCAATATACAGATGATTTGTTATTTCACATTGAACAGTTAAAGCGATACATCATATTTAACTTCCCAATTTCGACCACACGTGGCTGTGTATATATACATCCCGTACAACCAATACATATCCCACTCTTTAGCATAAGTTTTACTGACGGATGTCCTGATGAATAAAAATAAGAAGATGTGGTAAGATTGCCAATGAGACAACTTTCCACCAGCGACCAAATAATATAGAATAAACAACTATAGGTCACCGTACGGCCTTCAACAGTGACCAAAACCCATGACTATATTTCTATATCCCAGAAACACCTTAACGTTAATTTAATTTTGTCATTCGCTTTTTCCAAGCTTTTGATATCGAAACTTACAACAGTGAAAACCTCTTTTTCTACCAATCTACAGATGATGGGGAATGTAAGAATGCCTAATTGTTGACTCATTAGTCCATCTGCAATAGTATCTATAAACTGTGGAGGATTGGGCCACCATCTTTTGCCTAAAACAAACGCATAAATTACATATAACAAATATGCTTGACCATCCAGTGTAAATGTAATTTTAAATGTACAGTCATGTTTTTCTGATCACCCTTGTTCGCTCTTGAATTTGGTTTCTAATAAACAAATGTTATTATCTGTAATACAAAGGGAAAACAAGCTTTGTGGAGCATTTGACAGACCGAGCAACATATCGTTGTTTGAGTATTTTGGGTATCCAGTTAAGTGTTGACAGATTATGTCCGTCATCTTTGGTTGTATTCCAAAGGAAGCACGCAGCATTTCAAACACAAAGTATAAATAATTGAGAATTTGAAGATGGAAGACCTTTTCTTGTTCTTGAAAAAATGTCATCATAATTATTACTAGTTTTCGTGTTTTTCAACAGCTATTTATTGAAATAAAGGCAGGGATATCAAAGGCCATTTCAAAACTTTTCAGCTTATAGAAACTGACAATGCCATGACAAAAAACGAAAGACGACGAAAACTCAAAAAAGTTCCCAAAAAGACTGTGCAGAACGAACCCTACCAAAAAACATAGGGTGATCTCAGGTGATCTGGCAGGATAAGTAGATAAATTAAAGATGTGTTGTCAGCGATTGCTACTATTACTAAATAGAAATATTTACCTGACCTTAGGCTCTTCTCAGCCATTTTACCTTTAGGTTCTACCATAAAAACTAAAAAGGAGAGCATATAATTTTATTCATTATATCGTTTGTCTCACCAAGATTGCTTACAGCCAGGGGCTTTCAAATATTCGGCTTTGAGCGTTCCTGATGAAGGTAAATCCAGAAAAGCGCTTCGGATGCATGAAATATAAAACTAGTGTTTTCATTTTTTACTATTGTATTATTTTGTATTCTGAAATTTTAACGTTTCTTTGAATTTTGAAACAAACAGTTAATCTGCATTCCAATTAAAAAGATTATATATAAACGAAAATATTGATGCTAAAAATATCCCTTTTTATCAAATTAGTTAAAGGCAATTTATTTCAGGTGAAAGTAAACTTTCGATTGCCGTCGCCTGGAAATCTACTACTTTTTCACATATACATAGTTGAGATTTAACACACAAATGAAAATATAACAAATGGTAAATATTACTTTTTATATTTTTGTTGATAGATTTAGCGGCAATAGCTATACCAGAAATCATTCCGCCTCCACTTGCAGATACCAATATCGCATCTAAATCTGGCACTTCCTGTAATAACTCCACGGCGATTGTTCCCTGAATGATTGAAACTTGTTAAAGCAGTCTTCATGACCTCAGCTGTCTTATTTGTTTGAAGATTAACATTTGCAAATAGAACGTTTAAGTTAGAAATAAGTGTTAAATGACAACAAATATCTTGTTATTGCACATGAACACCAAATTATACGTATACAGATTATTGGTGTACAGATTTGCCGATTAATATAACTATAGATTCATTTGTCTATGCGTGTGCAGATAACTTGGATTATTCATGTACACATACATTGGTATATCTTCCAAGTTATATTGGTTTATTCCTGTGAAAATACACTTGTCTATCATTGAAATATATATACTATACAAAATAAGGAGATGTGGTATGATTGCCAATGAGACAACTCTCCACCAGAGACCAAATGACAAAGATGTTAACAACTATAGGTCACCGTATTTTATTTGTGCATTCATATGTTTGCATAAATGATTAAAATATACTTAATTTATTCGTTTAAACAACTTTGAATCATTTTTGTAAAGTACAATTCAAAACCATTGGTTTATTCTTGGACAAATAACATGGATGGTCAGTTGGTTTACACATACATTTCTTGTGTATCACTTAGTGATTTGTGGGCCAAAGAAGATCTTCCCTAACCCAACCTTTATATCCCCAGTTATAAAACAATATTATGGTATTCTATGTATTTTTAGTTCTTCTTTGTAAACAGTAACATTTTCACAAAATGCAATTGAATGAAAACAATAAAACCATAAAGTTAACATAGCTGACATTGTCATCTACTGTTGAGATACATTCGTCTATAAGCTGATCAGTGGGTGAAAATAACATGTATACGTATATGTATACATATGGCAACCAATATATATTGATGTCAGTATTTGTGCTACTGGATGGTTGTCTACTTCATGTTATCTCGTATGTATTTTTACGTATATAATATACCTGTCCATGTATGACGTCATCGTGGTCTGAAGTATGGATAATTTCATATCCTTCTTTTGCTGCTATTTTTTCACAGGCTTCTATTCTAAAAAAAGGTTTACAAAATTCAAACAATATTTCTAATAGTTATGACTGTCCAGTTCTTATGTAAGGTATAAGAATTAAGACAGGTTAATAGTTTTTTAGCAAAAATAATCGAAAGGCGTATTTTATTCAGTGCTAATTAACTTTGTATGTTCATAACCAACTTCTGTATGACACTTTTCCTCAACAATTTTTTCGAAAAGCAATAACAAGCTGTCCGATTATTGACCTTTCATGCCTAGGATGGCCTGTCACAACTGCAACTAATAAATTAATAAGAACCATCTTAGCTTTGTTTGACCATTTAAAGGGAACAAACTTCCTTAAACACGTATTTGGACTGCAGGACTGTGCATTGCGCTTTTATTAAATGGTGAACATTTAAAGGTGTGTGGATATCCACTATTTTCAAAAGAAATAATAGTTACTGTCGAATATATGATTTTTACAAAAGAAATCTCTGATTACTGAAAAACTATTACACCATGGTTTTCGATATCACAAACTTGTCAAAATGTTTACTAAATTTGATCATCGGTACAAGGACATCATTCGTAAATTTATTCTAAAACCATTTGTTTGCATGACACGGGCTATGTTCTTCTCGTATAATTTATAATGGCATCATACTAAACCCATAACGGGAGGAATTGTGGTTGATTTACATATAATGAAGACATAATGGATGTGTTTTAGTTGAGTTTAGTCTCTGATGCATGAGCTTTTATTATTAACTGTTTTTAACTTTTAAGTAGCTTTCAGAAACTGCGAGTACTCTCAAATCGTACTTTCGTGTAAATTTGACCTGTTGATACAATTTGTAATGTATTTTTGTTATTTAATGTTTACTTATTCAGTGTTATATCTAGTCTCACTATTTTTAATATATACCACCTTTGGTAAGTGTTTAGTATGACGATAAATTTTCACTTTTGTTCTCGTACTAGGAACAACAAAATTATTTATTTTGTAAAAATTATTTCAGTACTCCATGTATACCTTACAACAAAATTATTTTTATTTACCTGTGTACGTTATTTTGTTTGGCGGCATTTTGTCCAAGGTTATGGTTGTCTTTCTGATATTGTTAAACATCTAACCCCCTTGTTTTATTAATTTTGTATTTACATTGTGTCATAGATCAAATTTATTCATTCAGTGTATGTTCACTTTTTTTTTGTTAATATGTCTTTTGATTGAGTTATTTTGATTGAGTTAAGCCATTTCAATTGATATTTTATAGTGTGTCTTTCTATGTTATTATGTTACACTATTGTTTCAGGTAGGGTGAAAGTTAGCGCCTATTAAAACGTTTAAACCCGCTGCATTTGTTTGCATCTGTCCTAAGTCAGGAACCTGATGTTCAGTGGTTGTCGTTTGTTGATGTGGTTCATAAGTGTTTCTTGTTTCTCGTTTTTTATATAGATTAGACCGTTGGTTTTCCTGTTTGAATGGTTTTACACTAGTCATTTTTGGGGCCCTTTATAGTTTGCTGTTCGGTGTAAGCCAAGACTCCGTGTTGAAGGCCGTACTTTGATTTATAATGGTTTACTTTTACATATTGTGACTTTGATGGAGAGTTGTCTCATAGGCACTCATACCACATCTTCTTATATCTATAATCTTTCGATCAATTTAATCGAGGTCTGGAGCTGGCATGTCAGTAATATAACTGCTAGTAATCCTTTGTTAATTTGTGTCGATCATTGTTATTTTGTTTAGTTTCTTCTGATACCTATTCTTACATCGAACTCGGACTTCTTTTAAAATGAGTTTTACTGTGCTTTTGCTGTGCTATTGTTTATTCCACATTGCATGGCTAGAGGTATGAGGGAGGGTTGAGATCTCACAAAACATGTTAAACCCCGCCGCATTTTTGTGCCTGTCCCAAGTCAGGAACCTCTAGCCTTTGTTAGTCTTCTACTCAGGTTTTATTCAATTAAAAACTATAGTATAGTAATCTTATAATTAAGTAAAGGTAGATTTATAAAAACAATTATGAATTATTATTATTATTTTCAGCTAAACATTCTTTCGTAAACCAACTATAGCACACTATACGGTATGGGTTTTATTCATTGTTGGAGGCCGTACGGTTACATAATTTTACTTACATCCACTTCATTTCAACTTGGTGGATACATTGTAGTTGTTTCATTGGCAATCATACCACATCTCTTTATTTTCTATATATGTATGAGTTAAATGTAACAAAGCCAATATTTTAAGTAGAAATGTTAACAACCGAAAGACAGAACATAACGGAAAACCAAAATCCATAACTGACTGCTAAGAAACAATCAAAACCACTCGGGTCCTCTGGAAGGGAATGCAGTTCCGGTTCGGTTTCAATAGTAACAATAGTCGTGCTGTTCATTGCAAGTGACAAATCGCATTTGTTTATATAAACAAAAATACAGGATCGTGGCTGTGACAAGTGGAACATATTCTTGGTCATCTGCGAAACAAATATTTCATGCATATCGAATAACAAACTTTCGAAACGATGCTTGTTTTTTTATCGACAACGTAATTCAGTTCATTCAATACGCGTATTTTTTTCAACAGCAAATCTGTACTTCCATGTGAACCAACTGTACTTCCATGTGAACCAACTGGTTTTTTTTATTTTCTCGCCAATTGTAATAATCACTTGTTAATAATGAATCAAAATGATTCCAATGAACTGTGAGTACAGGACACCAAAGATAAAGATCGATCTACTCTCTCTTTAACTTACTTCAATGAACTGTCAGTACAGGACACCAAAGATAAAGATAGATCTACTCTTTCTTTAACTTGCTTCTAGAAGGTAAAAAGTTCGATGTAACTTATCTTCAAAAATAAATACATTATTTCATTAGACAAGGTCCCTATTGTGAACTTTCAATTTTTATTCAGCAACAAAATATAATGGAAACACATGCATATGCGGTATACTAGCATATATGTCCTAGAAAACAAACCTAGATATTGGATCATATTCACATGTTACTACTTCTGCTCCATAACCTTGAATTGCTGTGGCCTTGAACTCAGATGTCGTTTTTGAAATAACTACCGAACACTTTACCTCTGCCAAACGAGATGCCCATGCTGTAGCGAGACCATGATTGCCACTACTGTACGCTACCTTTAAAAGATGTTTGAAAATTAACGCTTCAGGCATTTAAAAAAAAATCTTTATTTTATTTATTTACGGGTCATTTTGTCTTGAGTAGAACATTTATTCTAATATCACTTGTTCTATGGAAAGAAATTGGTATAATACGTGTTTATATATCAAATAATCAGTTCTTTGTTTTCTTTGTTACACTATCATGGATTCTTTCATAAAGCCTTGGATTTTTTTTTTTTTTTTATAAACCAAACATGCGACTGTCATACAAGTGAGAGGTTTAGCTAGCTATAAAACCAGGTTCAATCCACCATGTTCTGCATAAGAAAATGCCTGTACCAAGTCAGAAATAAGACAGTTGTTATCCATTCTTTTGATGTGTTTGAGCTTTTGATTTTGCCATTTGATTAAGGACTTTCCTTTTTGAATTTTCCTCGGAGTTCAGTATTTATGTGATTTTACTTTTTATGCTACGAAAATATAATATTAATTACTTACAACTCCTTTTAAATTAGGATTACTCTCTTTGAGTTTCAATATCTGAAATACAAATTCTTTTATTGTCATATGATACGTTTTCACAATAAGTACAGAAGTAAAACAATACATAATTCGAAATAATTTTTAATTTGTTTGTCAATTCGTGAAAAGGGCTGTGTTATTTTGGTTGTGAGACGTTTTAAAGTCCATTTTTTTCTCAGACCTTACAGATGTTTACATATACGTAGTGAAGATGTTAACCAAGATGAAATTTTGATATGAAAGAGTACATTAAATTAACATCACATCTTTGCCACAGAATCGAAGTCATATGGTCAAATGTAAGTCATGGAATGTAACACATCGTGTATGGTCAAATATCCAAATAAAACCAAATCAGATCATACATTTTTGTATTTGTATGTCTGCATGAACAAAATAAATAGAGGTCATAGGACAAGGTTTTATATCATTAGCAAAGATAGGAAACACGTTTTAAGATTGAATGTGATATGCAAACTTCTTTAGACTTTGCAAAAGGAGACTTAAAAATTTGCGTATGAAAACTTTCTATTTTTACATTTTAACGCTGAAACATTCCAGAAGAACCTGCAATCGACATGCCGAGGTTTGCAAATTAGAATGTATGCTTAATAGAGGGGTTTCTGCTATTAAACGAATGGTTTTAAAGGAATTTGTGTTACTACTGACTAGGAATTTCTTCCATTATTGGTAGCAAAATTTCGTTCTTTATGGTTTTTTATGACTTTAACCGCATCGCATGCACCTTTTATATGCTAATGTGTTGTTTGAATTGATAGGTGAAAAAAGTTCTATGTGAAACATTGGAATAGTGTTAAATGAAATCTAGCATGCATGCACTTACAGTATTTAATGCTCCTCTAGCTTTAAAAGATCCAGTTTTCTGCAAATTTTCACACTTAAAAAAGGCTTCTTTTCCAATTAAATTGTTAAAGGTCGAATTAGTAATAATAGGTGTTCTATGAACAAAAGGTTTTATCCGTTCGTGAGCTTTATAAATAAAATAGATAGCTCCCCTACTCGACATTTTTTACAGACGCAGAAAAGACAATATATCAGTGTGTGACCTTGTACATGGATTTAATAAAGACATGTCCTGCAAACGGAAAAAAGACAATATTTCAGTTTGTGACCTTGTACCAAAAAACGTCCTTCCTATATGTATATATAAAATTGAGAATGGAAATGGGGAATGTATAAATATATAAAGTCATGGAGTTAAATTGTATTAACCGTGCAAACTATGAAGAGCATTTTTAAATCATTCATAGATGATGCTTGTTGTCATTAAAATACTTCGCGTTAAAATGCAAGATTTTGATTGGTATATACATAGGGAGACAATTGGCTATATCCCATTGCTTAGACGGTGAATTCTTTAAATTCTTACTGTGACTTAAATTGACTGCTAGTGTCGCTCTCCACCTATTGCAAATTATTCAAAATTCTGACCAAATTGCAATTTGTTTTATAAAACCAAACTGTTCAACTGGTCAGAAATTTGAACAAACTGCTGTAGAAAACCACAGTCAAGTCCTGAAAGTGCAAGGTGATAAAATAAAGCATACTTACAATCCTATAAGACTTTAATTCCACTTCAATATTATTTTGAAAAATCTGTCTAACAGTTTATATAGAAATTTATTGTTATTGTCATGCTAAAGGTGATATGGAGTAATTTTGAATTGCTATAAAAATGTCCAAACTAAGCTTTCATACAATTTTCTTTTGAAAAAGTCTTCTATATTCATAAGAATCAGTATGCTTTATTTTATCACTTTGCACTTTCACGACTTGACTGTGGTTTTCTACAGCAGTTTGTTAAAATTTCTGACCAGTTAGACAGTTGTAATAGGTGGAGAGCAACACTAACAGCCAAGTCACAATAAAATGTCACCCCTCGTGCAAACCAATCAAAAATCGATAATCTGAAAGACGTCAATAATTATATAAACAAGTACTATGTTTCGACCTCGTGTCTTTTTATAGACTGTCATAAAAACAAATACATCTTCTTCACTTTTGTTACTTTTCTAATGACTGTAACGTTTTTATGTACATGAAGTCAAAGTTTATTATTTTAAATTTTAAATTTAAATGACAATAATGTCGGAACATTCAATAGATTAAATAACACTTAGCAAAGAGGATGATAGAGCAGATTGTTTTTTCCCACAAAAATATTGTCAACCGTGGCGAATGTTTTCTAGGAGCAACAATATCTGTATCACACTCTCAGCTATGAGCTATTTATATATTGTTTTTGTTTTCTAGTTTAAATGTTGTATATGTATATGCATATTGATTTTTAACATCAGAAATGCGGTTTTTGGCTAAACGTAGATACTTCTAAAATCACATATCCGGCCAATGTATAAACTTATTACACTGAAACTTGATATTTATAATACACTGCACCATTAAAATAATATATTATATACAGAGGTAGAGACAATATACGTATATTGTAAGAAAATATAGAAACTGAGTCTCCTGTTTCGTAGCGAGTACAAATATCTAAGTATAGATTGTATGCTTCCCAACAGTTGAATTTGTTTTTAAATTAAATTGAACTGCGAGTTTTAAAAATAGTAATTTTAGTTATTCGATTATAACCGTTCGTTCACAAGTGAAGCAGGATACAAGGAGATGAAAAACGTATACTATACTTTCGCTTCATGTTATCTGTACACCTGTATTTGGATGGTAGTAAGGTCGATTGCAGGATAAATTCCGAATGTATGATTGTGTTACAAAAATGAAGAATACACACTTTTTACACGTGCAGCCAAGTACATGTATCTAGCTCAACCATGAAATTTTGCACGAAATTAAAGATCGTTGACATTCAGTGACATTTCTTGTTTATCAAAAACTGACTCCTTTGAATATTACAACAGTTATAAAATGTATAGTGGCTGGTGCAGACTAATAATTGAAGTATTTCACATAGACATACTGTTGAACTAATATCCCGCCTCTGTAAACATATAAATGGTACGTGTTTTGAATATCAAGCGGGAATTATATAAATATAATAAACTAGGAGATATTTTTTTTACAGGAACAGATTGAATATTTAAGAATACTAAATAAAATATGTATGAAAAATGTAACGATTTAATGTAAACAATGTTATGAAATGATGCATACATACATTCATACGTGTATTATATCATAACAAATATTATAAATTTTGTATTTATAAAAACAACTTTGAGGAAAGAGTCTTCCTGTAAGTGTTTATTTAGTCAGTTTTTTCTACCGGTTGTACTTTAACCACGCATTAGACAGATTCCCTTGAAAAGACAACAAAAATTAAATATTGAACGGAAATAAACAACAGAAGTAGCATACTTATTTTTCCGAAGAGTTGATTATTATTTTTTTCAAATGAAACTTTTATTCGTAGTAAATGCTCTTTTGTTAATAGGAATGTCACAAGCAGCTCCAATCAGATCACTTCCGGACGAAACATCATTTAACGAAGCTATCCAGGCTAAGAACGCTGATGTAAGTATTTGTTTAGCCATTCCTATTTTATTTTATATTAAAACAAATATTTGTCAACATCATTATAACCATAATATTTATAAATCGTTACGCAAGATTACAGTTTCAGATATTACTATAAGGTGTCAGACCAACAATTCAAAATCCTATCTATTCAAAGATATTTTTTTTTTTTTTTTTTCACATCTTTCTAAATATTTTACCCTAAGTTTAACTTCATGGAAACCAGGTACATGTATATCCTGAATTGTACAAGTATGGTTATTTTGTTTTGTAATTTTTAGTATGTGTTGATCATCTCCAATAAATAAAAATGTTTCCGTTTTTGTTGAATTAAGTAAAACAATACATTGAAATAAATAGTCAAATTCTGTGGTTAAAGTCATCTTCTTTTGGATTTTTTATCTCTCTCTAAGTCCACTACTACTTTTTCAACAAAGCTACGCGGATTTGGTGCCGTAAACATTCGCTTCTTCTTCTTGTGGAATTCTCAAACTACGATTGGTCAATTAAATTTTGCGTATAAACATATACATGTATTTATAATGCCTATATGACATTGTGCTTGTTTCATTTGAGTCTGCTAGCCCTCATAACTTTGTAATGATGTATATATAGTTCTTTAATTTTCATTTTATTTTTTCAAAAGACATAATTCATTGAAGAGCATATAAATATTCAATGATGCATTGAACACAATGTCGAAGAAAAATAATTAATTTGAAGTTTACACTTATTTCTCGAGCCAGAAACAAAAACAAAAATAGCAAATATCAAGAAGACAATGACGACTTCAAAAATAAAAGTTACTGATTTGGCAGTGGTATTTCTTTAAAAGACGTGTATCCCCCTTTCTTTTATAATATAGGTCATTATTTTGATGGTTTTTACTATATAACTAAATCTGTAAATTTGATTGATGATGTTCCGTAGGATTACAGGTTTACAGAACGTTTAATGTCGTAAACTCACTATTTGTAGCCAAACTTTTTCTTGTGAATATTATAAATTGGAAGATATCAAGAGATTAACACTGTATTGTCTCAGATGCATAACAAATTATTAGTAAATGTCGATCACGAAACAGGACAGAAATGTTCAGCGTCGTCACATTTCTCCTTGTTCGAAGCCTTGTAGAGCTTATCATGGCAACTAATGGTATATTTTTTTTTATTTGCGACGTTTTATTTTATAGGTATTTTTCATGCGGTTTGGTTATATGAAAAACATAACTACAAGAACAAGACATGTGGACAAAGCTGACAAAAGAAAAGAAGCAATTAGGTTTATTTTTTATTTCTTAAATAAGCATTGAAAATATTTGAATTAATCATTTTTTTTTTAGATTTATTTACAAACTTTAACGTCATAAGTTGGGACGGATATTGGTTGCGTTCTCTAAATTTTACTTCCAAATCAGTTAAATATAAAATTATGGAGATGTGGTATAATTGCTTATGAAACTACCCATTGAAGAGCATAACAGTGCCTTTATACAGATCTGAAATTCACAAACTTGCAAAATATGTAAAATTCGAGATTTTTACATACGTTTTAACGGTCAAGACGTATAAGTTTGATTTATTTTTGGTAATAAAAAACTACTATAATGCTAACAATGCTCGATCACTAATTACAAGTATATTATACGTAGGTCAAATGAATCCGATACGTAAATAAGAAAAAGTTATGCCTCTTCTTCGGGTGCCTCTTTTATTAATTGACAACAAAATCAATGAACAGTAAACACAGAGGTTACAACGATGTAATATAATAGATAAAGCAAACTTTTTTTTTCATTATTTCAATTACTTCTACCTTTATAATATTTTTTCTTGAACAGGAAATTTCAACAATTCAACGGAATGAATATTACGGGAGAGCTAGACGAAGAAACCATACAAAAAATAAAACAGCCTCGTTGTGGAGTTGCAGACTTCAACGAGTCTTCTCGAGACAGACCGTTGCAGTTCTTTGCGCCAGGTAAGGAACTATAAATGTGCTGTTTCATACACAATGCTTGTCTCTTAACGTCTGATTTAAAACTTTGGAAAGTGCATGCTATTGTCATTATTTCTTAGGGAGCAGAACCTGAGTTCTCTTGCGGAGTTTTAGCATTCAATAAAGCTCTCATTTTAAAACTACCTGATATCATTTCGTAAAAAATTAAATAGATATGATTGCACCAGTTCGATTATTTTCAAAGCATTGACTCTTTAAAAGTAATTCAAAAGTGTTTAATAGCACATTTTAAAAGGATGCATTGAAACATATCACATATTTGATAAATTATCCACAGTTTTGCATTTGCATAAAAAAAAATCGGTCAAATTTTATTTCACGTAAAACCTTTATATTGTCTGAAGATACAAATATAAGCCCACTTAAGGCGTTCAAATTAAAATCTTTCCCTGGAATCCTTCTACAAACGAACCAATAAAATTACTGTTTATTTGATAGTTGAGTTTTATATCCTCCTTGCGATCTGCGTCCAAGAAATTTCGATTTTTTGTGCACTAGTAATTTTTGGGGCCCTTTATAGCTTGCTGTTCGGTGTGAGCCAAGGCTCCGTGTTGAAGACCGTACTTTGACCTATAATGGTTTACTTTTATAAATTTTGACTTGGATGGAGAGTTGTCTCATTGGCACTCATACATTTGTACCACATCTTCTTATATCTACATATTACTAGACAAAATATTGGTGACAAATACGCTTTTGCGATTTGATTGTGATATTTTGGTATATTCCCTATTATCTAAACATGGTAAACGAGTGGAAATTTTCCGATAATTGTTAATGTGACGGTTTATGTTGGTGTCTATTCCCCGGTCCGCGCCAAAAGCAATGTCCTTTCTATGAAAACAGAGTCAACGACCAAGTAATTTTCAAAATATATCATATTCAACTGTTTTTCCGCCGTGTGTCTATATCATTCTGTTCTGCACTTCTGAAAATCCTGTATTAATGTGTCTGTGACGTCGCAAAAGATTTGACATGACATTGTGAACTTTGACACGCAGTAATCAAAAACGCCATGTTTTGGACTGAGAATCTTAAGTTTGAACGACATTATATCGGTAGGCAGCAACAACTTAATAACAAATATACTGAAGGTGAAGAAAACATCGAATCAATACCATTCACTAAGAATCATTTTATTTTCGTATACAAATATTGCAAGATATTAGCTGCTTATCACAGTAAGGATAGTTTTGGGTGTTTTCGCTGCGCACACACAAAGAAAAACCTTCGCAGTGTAATTTGACGCTGGTTATATGTAAAAAGAGCTCAGATAATCTAAATATTTGTTCATTGTCGGAAGACATTTATAATCGCAACAAAACAAAAATTCATATAATATTAATGTAGTCTTAGAGTTAATATTTTTTGAACAAAAATTATTTTTAGGTTATAAATGGAGCAGGAAAAGGATAACATGGAAGCTAACAGGATATACCAATCAGCTTCCAAACTCGACACAAAGGTAATCGGAGTATTAAGTCACATTATTATCTACATTCTTATTTTTTACCAGTGCAAGGACAGATTATAAGCCTAATTAAAAAGACACAGTACTCGAGATTATTCTTCAAATATGTCATTTTTGTGCAGTGTTGTATGTAAACCAAGACCTCGTAAGCAATCTAAAATATTCAAGATGTCATCAAAAATGGCTGTTGAGACGCAAAATGACATTGTTTAAATTTGTTCAGGATGCCACATACATCCCTGATCAACTAGCTACACACAAAATATATATGATATTGAGATAAGAGACAGTAAATAAAAATTGACCGGCAAAAACTCGTCAAACTCGTCAATTTTAAATACTGCTCTCTAAGTCAAAAACTAAATCTGAAAGACAAAATACTGGAGAAAACGTTGATTTCTCTCTAAAACTGACAAGAAAAACAATTTTATACTGCAATCAGCTATTTTACTATACAGATAAAGCTATACGTATAAACGTTAGCTTTATACGTCAATGACCTCAACTAACCTATTAGCCACGCCTACTTACCGGAACTACTGTATTTCATCAACAATGTCACGTCACAACCATGACAGCGTGTAGTAACAATTGTCAAACTTTTGTAAATTTAAACTTGTTATGTCTTGAAATTCGTAATTTACATACCATGTTTATTAAATATTATTAAATTAGTTTATTTTCTCTTTCTAATTCCTAAAAATGTCAATGTCTTATCGCCTGGACTTTATGATTTACTACGCTTATAGGGAAATACCCAACAATGGTACCCAAAGAGGGAAATTCCAAACACTTTTTTTTTAACAATAAATTTGTTACGTATTTTATTTTGTTTTTTATGTTTTTTATCGATTTCAGTATAAAGACAATATACGTATAGTGTCTTGAAATATGAAATTTATTTGTATTCGGCACGAAACAGGGGGAAATGCTCGGTAAACCTCGCATTTCCCCCCGTTTCTTAGCCTCATACAAATAAATTTCATATTTCAAGACACTATACGTATATTGTCTAAATATACTGAACTGGGATTTCACAGTGCGTGTAGGTCAATCAGTGACGTCCTTTGTAAAGAGTTTTTATTTTATGCTCTATGTTCATTTCTATTGGGGTGCTATATACCGAAAGTTTTACATTGGTAAGAACTATACTTGTATTTGTAAACATATTTAAACCAACCGTTAGACAGGTGTAAATTTTTGACTAATATAGTGCCTATCTAGGTTAAAATATGCATAATTTTAGTGTTTTATACAGTTGTTTTGTACTTTAAATAAACTTACTCTAAAGGTTTACCAACTCAACACTGTAATTAGATCTTTGAAAAGTGTTTTTATTGGTATAAGTATCGATTTTGTTATCAGTAAATTAAAACCATACTAAATATTATATATATATATATAGGTATACACATATGCCCTTCATGATACTACAATATGTCGATACATATGGTATTGCACAAGGTCATGTTTTTATCTGACTGTTCATGACGTCTTTACACTCAATCCATTGGATGTTGGATGTGAACTGATTGATATTTTAGTCTTCTAGTGTTTTTTTATTAGTTGCTATTGGCTTTGAACTAGCTTTTAGTAACTGCAAGTACTCTCAGATTTGTACTTTATATTTTTTTTTTTGTTAAGGATGTATAAATACCCTGCCATGTCCGGTCTGCGTTTTTGTTAGATGTTTTTCTGCTTTGTATCGATTTGATGATTTTAGCCCTTTTTAACTGATTTTTTATAGTTTGTTCTTATGCTGTGCTGTAACACCACTGTCTCAAGTTAGGGAGAGGGTTGAGCGCTCACAAACATGTTTAACCCCGCCATATTCTTCATGTGCCTGTCCCAAGTCATCTGGAGTCTACAGTTTAATGGTTGCCGTTCATTCATTCTGTCATATTTGTTTTTCGTAAATTGTTTTGTTATAAATTAGACCGTTAGTTTTCTCAATTGAATTGGTTCAAATTTTTCATGCCTAGGACTTATTTTGTAGACTATACGGTATGCGTTTTTCTCATTGTTGAAGCCTTTACTGTTGCCTATAATTGCTTACATCCATTTCATTTGAACTTTGGTGGATAGTTGTCCATTTGGCAATTATACCACATCTCCTTACTTTTTATATGTGTACTATGTATCATTCTAATGAGTAATACCCTATTCAACTAATTTTTATAGTTTGTTATTTTGTTGTGCTGTTATACATGCATCACCGTCCCAGGTTATGGGGAGGGTCTGGCGCACGCAAACATGATAAACCTTAACACTTGTTTGTTCCTGTCTTAAGTCAGGAGCCTGCAATTCAGTGGTTGTCATTTTTTACTGTATATCATATTTGTTTTTGTTTCTTGTTTTGTACATAAACCAGACAGTTAATTTTTTCTCGTTTGATTTGTTTTAAATTTGTCAGTTCGGGACTTTTTACAGCTTGAACTTTCCATTTCTATGTAGCAACATTCTAGCAGCGCTTCCATACGGAGTATATATCTCTCAGTTGATACGATATTCCAGCGCTGGTATTTCCTATCGTGATTTCCTTGCTGCTCACAAGAAATCAATTAACCAAGAGTTCCAAGTGGTGAAGTTGAAATCATTCCTTCGTAAATTTTTACGGACGCAATCACGATTTGTTTTACCGTAATGGAATACTCGTTTCACAGGTGATAGCGGATATGTTCCAAATGTCGTAACTATAATCCCTTCGCCTTTTCCCCGAATGTGACCTACCGATTTATACTTATAACCGGGTTTGTACTAACATGAGCAACACGAAAGATGCCACATGTGGAGCAGGATCTGCTTACCCTTCCGGAGCACCAGAGATCATCCTAAGTTTTTGAAAAGGTTCGTGTTGCTCAGTTTTTAGTTTTCTATGTTGTGTTTTGTGTACTATTTTTTGTCTGTTTGTATTTTTCTTTTTTAGCCATGGCGTTGTCAGTTTATTTTTCGACTTATGGGTTTATGACAAAAATCAGCAAAGACCCATCGAAACAACATCTGATACACAAATTTAATAAAACTTTTAGATATTTGGATGATATTTTGGCTCTCAATAATGACGACTTCAGTATGTATACTAAAGAAATTTATCCTGTTGAACTTACTTTAAATAAAGCTAATACTAACAATGAACACTGCCCTTTCCTCGATCTTGATATCTATATCACTAATGGAAAGCTTAATACTAAAATATATGATAAAAGAGATGATTTTTCATTTCCTATCGTTAATTATCCTTTTTTAGATGGTGACGTTCCCTTGTCACCATCTTACGGTGTTTATATATCTCAACTTGTACGATTCGCTCGTGTATGTAACAATGTTTTAGATTTTAAGGAGAGAAATGTATGTATTACTGAAAAATTATTACACCAGGGTTTTCGATATCACAAACTAGTCAAAACATTTACTAAATTTTATCATCGGTATAAGGACATCATTCGTAAATATAGCTCAACATGCAGACTTCTTATACGTTCAGGTATTTCACATTCAATTTTTTATGGAAATATTCTTTATAAAGCACAAAAATGTCAGTATTCACCTCTGAAGCTTACAAAACCTTTAAACAGACTTATTAAGAAGGGATATAGTTACGATACTGTTGTCAGGTCATTAAAGATTGCATATTTTGGCGTTAATATTGATTCACTTATAGGGTCTTTGCATCGGCACTAAACACATTTATTTAAAAACCAGTTGTTGGCATGACACGGGTTATGTTCTTCTCATATATGTTATGATGGTATGATACTAAACCCCTAACGGGAAGGATTGTGCCTGATATTCATATGATGAAGACATAATCTTTCAATCAGTTTAATTGAAGTCTGGAGCTGGCATGTCAGTTAACTGCTAGTAGTCTGTTGTTATTTATGTATTATTGTCATTTTGTTTATTTTCTTTGGTTACATCTTCTGACATCAGACTCGGACTTCTCTTGAACTGCATTTTAATGTGCGTATTGTTATGCGTTTACTTTTCTACATTGGCTAGAGGTATAGGGGGAGGGTTGAGATCTCATAAACATGTTTAACCCCGCCGCATTTTTGCGCCTGTCCCAAGTCAGGAGCCTCTAGCCTTTGTAAGTCTTGTATTATTTTTAATTTTAGTTTCTTGTGTACAATTTGGAGTTTAGTATGGCGTTCATTATCACTGAACTAGTATATATATTTGTTTAGGGGCCAGCTGAAGGACGCCTCCGGGTGCGGGAATTTCTGGCTGCATTGAAGACCTGTTGGTGACCTTCTGCTGTTGTCTGTTCTATGGTCGGGTTGTTGTCTCTTTGACACATTCCCCATTTCCATTCTCAATTTTATTGAATGTCACTTTGGTATCTTTAGCCTCTCTTTTACATCTATTTCATATAAATTTCGTCCAAACCTATTTCGCCCTTTAATGAATTGTGTTATTCTTGTTATGTCCCTTTCGTTCATAAAAATTCTAACGTTTCTACGTATTTGTACATCCATGGCTTTCAAATGATCAGGTATGAGCGTTCATGATGGGATAAATCCAGAAAAAGCGCTTCGGAAACACGGGATTTATAGAGTGTTATTTTCATTCAACAATAGATAGGTATTGATACAATGTATAAACTTTTATCAAGCTCTAAAACGTCACGTGTCTAAACATGTTGTGAATGAATTAGATATAAACCATCAAATATTTTCCTTCAACAATATAACAAAAAACTATTTTCTTGAGATCCCCACCTCTGTTACCCTTTCTAATATCGGTAAGTGGATTAACAAACTGTACGGAGTCATTTTAAGTTTTGTTACAAACAGTCGTTCAACCCCTCCTCAATATGTGTACAAAAATATCCGATCAAATTAAAAAAATATCGCTACTTCCCATACGACACTACTAGCATTAGTTTTTGTTGTTTTATAATGTATATGAGATCAATTATATTTATGTAGATTAGCTTTCGAGAGTGCGCTAAAGAAATGGTCCGATGTGACGTCATTGATATTTGAATACACAGAAGTCCATCCAGATATAGAAATTCTATTTGCCAGGGGTAACCATGGTGACGGATCATATAACGCCTTTGATGGTCCAGGTATTTAATGCAGCTTAAGTATATAACGCAAAACAATATGAGTATTTTGACCATGCACGTATGGTCACCGTTATCAATACGATAAATATCACTGTTACAGAAAGTATGGTTATAAATTAGAAGTTTCTAAAACTATCAAGTGAAAATAAGTAGAAAATCGAATAAATAGATTAAAAAAATTAAAGACCGTGGTAAGAAGGTCCACATATGCCCACTAACTCATGTTGTTTCACTTACGGACGAAAAAGTTGAAAGGTTAAATATGTCAAAGATAAAGGATTTTAGTTCGGATAAGGAATTATAGTGTATTCGAAATACAGTTATATGGTCTAAATACTCATATGGTCCAGCCCGTTATAACTATTAATAACCAAACGAGTATATACTCATATGGTCCGATCATACGCGTATGGTCGGACCATATGGGTATATACGTTTATTGTCATGACCATACGCGTATGGTCCAAATAACCATATGGTCCCGAACATATACATTACGTGCAATTAAGCACCAAATATGCTTAGAAGAGAATATATGAATATCTCCACGTTGATAATCAAATGAGACGCTATAAAGTTCTCCTCTAGAAAATGTATTTTACATTCTTCAAACCAAATCTTAAGAACGGACATAACGTTAGGGTACCCAAATTGCACCTATTTTGACAGTTTTTTTCGCCTACGTTTATTTATGATCCAGAAATAGAGTTACCATTCTAGGTTTATTTTTTAGATGTATCCTTACTTTATAATTCCACCAATTTAATTTTGAATCCATATTGAATCGCTGCAATAAATGTTCAACTTTTTCGAAACACAAAGGATTTTCTACCCCAGGAATATATTATCTCGGCTTTATTTGGCATAACCTTTTGGATTTTAGATCCTCAATGCTCATCAACTTCGTACTGTATTTGGCCTTTTAAACTTTTTGATTCCAGCGTCAATGGTCAGTCTTTTGTAGATTAAACGCGCTTATGAAGTACATAATTTAACCCTTGTATATATGATGAATTTATCAAAATGCCAATAAAACTTTCAATACTAATGAAAAAATAGAAATAAGACAATAATAGTTCACTCCTGTCGTTTTTCGATAAGTAATTTTTCTCTTTTCGTATCAACAAAAAAATAAGTCAGTGACTAGGCAGCGTGATCCAATACTTATCAAAAAGAATTGCATGTATTTCAGGAAGAGTTTTAGCGCATGCGTTTTATCCAGCCGATGGTGACACCCATTTTGATGACGATGAAACCTGGATTTTCAGATCGGGAACGGGAACAGATCTAGAGGTTGTAGCTGCACATGAATTTGGACATACCTTAGGACTTGGTCATTCGCAAAATACTGCTTCTTTGATGGCGCCATTTTATAAAAGAATGGACCCTGGTTGGCGACTTCACCAGGACGACATCACAGGAATACAATCACTCTATGGTAATACTTTTTCTACTTTTGCGCGTATTTACGATAATTTACAACTTCATTTTCAGCTTTTCAGACAATTTCAAGGGTACTTTAACGTTCATTAAGCTTGGAACTTTCCCTACAAAAACATCCGTTTTTAACGTCCTGCACGTGGCTTCGTATATATATATCCTACATGGGCTAAACGGAAGTCCCACTTAATTAAGGGCATACGATACAGCTTTGATCCCATAATGAAACTTTGATGAAAATTTGCATATAGGATATTTTTTACCTGATTAAATCAAATATGTAATCAAAAATATACCATCATGTGCTACTTTTTGAGTAAATTGAGGTTGAAATTTCAGATATTTCCTCAAAATTCGGATTTGTGGACGTTTTTTTCTTTTCAATAGCAATACATAACTTTTTTTGTTTTAAAAGATAAACACAAGCTCTTTTTTGTTAAATTATTTGTAATTTCTGTTTTATATAAATTTGTACATTTCATTTTTACAAATAACTCATATTAATCAAATGATCATGATTGTAGAAAAAAAACGTCATTTTTTGCTGTATATTTTTCAAATTTAAAAAAATTGCACTATTGACTTTTTCATGAAAATTGGTAAACATAATCTTCATAGTTACGTAATCAAACCAAATGTCATTTTAAAAAAGAGGGCTCCATGAACACGTTTTCAAGTTAAATCAGTTTGAATGATAAAAATCAGTCGAAAACTGCATCTTTTCCCGATAAGTCACAGTTTGACGAAAATAACAATTTACGTTAGCAACGTCATTACCTCCCCTGTAACTGTATCGTATGCCCTTAAGCATTGGTTAAACGCTTGGTTGATGACCATATTTCTCAACTCCAATCAGCTATATAGGTCTACTTATTTGATTTATTGTTTGTTTGCGTCCTGTTTATTCATGTTATATTTTTGTCACTGTTCATTAAGTAAATAACATAAATAACAATCAATAAGTCAATAGTTTCAATCAATACTTGTTGTTGTCACTATTGCTTTCAAACGACATCAATACCCTATTATCGGACTTTAGTAAATTGTAGTGAGAGATTTCTCTGACGTCCAACGGCTGTTTTGCCAGACAAGCTGGGCCGTGGGACGTCAGAGCTCGTCCCAAATCCAAAAGTGGATATTTGTCCGTCCAAAATGTATGCGCCGCTTCGTTGCTTCTGGAGCCAACTGACGGCCTTGGATCCATAAAAATCGGGCCTCAATTTGTTCATTTTTCATTTATCTCTTCATTTCCCCTACCTACCACCCTTTATTTTCTCAAGTTTGGACAGTTTTCACAGTGACCCATCGATTCCGGCATTTTAACTTTCACTTTGAAAGATTTTTACGTTTCCAACGAGAAAAAGTAAGGCGCAATGCATTATGGGAGCTGATTTATGCAAATGACCCTGGGTCAATATGAATACATAATCTAACACCTCGTTCATTTACGACCCAAATAAGCTGAATGGCCTAGTGTGTTCCGATTGTTATCATGTTTGGCTAGGAAGGTTCTAGGCCGAAATTAGCATAAAAATTTGCATACTTAAGTCTCGAGGCCGCGTTCTTGACGTCCATTAGAAAAGAAAGTTAAAATGCTGGAATCGATGGGTTGCTGTGAAAACTTTCCAAATATGAGAACATAAAGGGTGGCAGGTAGGTTAAACTTATAAAATGAAGAGATAAATGAAAAGTGAACAAATTTATGCCCGATTTATATCGATACAAGGCCGTCAGTCGGCTCAAGAAGAAACGACGTGGCGCATCCGTTTTGGACGGGCAAATATCCACTTTTTGATATAGGACGAGCTTTGACGTCCCACGGTCCCAGCTTGTCTGGCAAAAGAGCCGATGGACGTCAGAGTAATCTCGGACTAGGTAAATTGTTGATACTGTTTGCTGAGTTTCAAGGATATAATCTTATCAGTGAAACAATACATAGATGCTGATTGTCATAATTTGCTTGAAAAATAAGTGGAATATTTCTGTATGTTATCACGGTTTTTTCTCTTCATATTACCTTTAACTGTCGTTGGAAACTTTTATTACGTTATGGTCATATTGTAATTGCGAGAAAATATATATGGAAGATATTTGATTGTAGTCAATAAGACAATAGCACCCTCCCCCAAACGTCAATAGTCTAGAGATCAACAAGAGATAAGTTTCTTAACGATATGCAAAGCTTTAAATAGCCCTCTACTAGAAAATATGTGAAAACATTTTTCAGAGACAAATACATATAACTAATAACGTGCTAATTCACAACGTAATGATTAGCAGTTGAAGGCCGCCTCCGAGTGTGGGATTTTCTCGCTGCGTTGAAGACAAATTGGTGGTCTTGGGCTGTTTTCTACTCTTTGGTCGGGTTGTTGTCTCTTTGATACATTCCCCTTTTCCATTCTCTATCCTATAAGTACTTTTACAAAAACTCTTGGCAATGTTGGTCCGTTTGACTGTGCAGGAGGTACAGCAATACGCAGCCTCACACATATAGATACAGGTGTCAGAATAGCATATTCAGTCTGACATGCTCTCTTATCAATTCAACTACAGTACTCTTGATGAGAAGTGTCTGCTTTTTAATGTGAAATATAAGTTATGAATACACAGTTAGGTCCGTTTTGCTGTGCAAATAAAAAGTCACTCACGATTAGGGAAATTCACTACACGATTCATAATCAATTTGAACTGAAATAAATTTCGTACAACTGGTTTGATTTTTGCGCAATAAAACCTGGTTCAATCCGCACCTTTCATTTTGAAAATGCCTCAAGCAAGTCAGGAGTACGAAAATTCATTCCCCATGGATTTACGGACATTGTTTTTAAGAAATTCCTTTGAAGTTAAAAAAAATATTTGGTAAACCTTTTTAACACTCGTTATATATGGAATACGTCATAAATGACCATAAACATTTCCCCTTTAGACCACTCAGCAATAAAACAAGTGTTTCATGCAGAGTAACAAATACTTCCCCTGAAGAAGCATCCAACATAGGTCCCTCTATTTAAAGGAGGCCCTGTTGTCTGAAGTTCTAGTTTTAATTATTTTCAACTAATATAGGACAATGGTGTTCATTTAAAATTTCACCATTTCAAGCCCTTTTATTTTCCATATAATTAATTTTGCCAATAATTAAAAAGTTCCGGGTCAAATCCGATACACCAATAGTATATGTCACATGAAGTTTCCGGTTGTACTTCTTTTTCTTTTCCCTCCACGATCTGGAGTACCACTATTATATTAATTGCATTGAGAAAACCAGGACGGGTTCAAACAGAAAGATTTTTGAACGTAGAGAAAACTATGCCCCTTATAATCAGTATGACTTTATCAGATGACAATACAAATACTAAAAATCCAGGTTAAAAATAAGGCGTAGGTACTTTGATTCAGTCACGGACCCGCTATATCGCTGATGTGTTCTAGTATGTATTTATATAAGTAGCTTTCTTTTCACATGCATAAGCTCTTTATTGGTATGCTTTTATTTTTAAAAACTTTCAAATGTTCATTAAGTGGAAGTTGTACTGTATGAGTAAATTGATGAACTTTTCATTTGTAAGGGTTTCCAGAAAATCAGCTATCAGCGCCATTATCTTCACCATCGACCACTTCATCCGGGATTAACCATAAACTTATTTATAACATTAAATATATTATTTCATCTAGTAAGTACTTATAATCTGTTATTATGTTAATTATATCAGTTACACCTAAAGGTAGATGTAGACTTATTAAATTCTAAGATGGTTTCTTCATTTAAAGACTATATAAATCACTGTATCGTTGGCGTACATGTATGTTTAACTTCTATTTTATTACACCAAAAAATCATCAAAGATACCAGGCTGATAATTTTGAAAGACAGACGCGCGTTTCGTCTACAAAAGATTCATCGGCGATGCTCGAATTTAAAAATTAAAATGCCAAACAGAGATCGAAGTTTAAGAGAACCCAAAAAGAACGAAAAGGTTTTCCAAATTAACTTTAATGACGTTAAAAAACTAACCCATGAAATAAATAAAAAAAAATACTATTAGCGGTATCTTCATCTTCACAAGCCTAGTAGACTGGAACTCAGGATAATGTGTCGGGATAGGGTAAAATGTTTTCCTGTGGACTGAGTACCATGTGAACTATCACGTTAAAAATCTGGCTTTCCGTGTCAGTCTAGTTTCAAGCAAGGGTCCTCTTTAATCCACATGTTCTAGTTCTGATATGAATGAGATTGTGGCCACCAATGTATTATCATCATGATCACAAACATTCACACTATTCCATATGCTACTGCATTTTTTATACATGTATTTTGATTTTATTGAAAATTATGATAAAAAAACACTTGCTAACAATGAAGAGTTAATTTAAAAACACACAATGGGCAACACAATGCCTTTAATTGTATGTCATAACTAGTTATCTATCAGCTAAAACATTTGGGAAAGCGGAAAGACAGACATATAGTTTTTTATGCAATTTATTGTAATAATTGAGATGAAACGGAATCAGTACTACTCAACATGTTGCACTTACATCAGACATTTTTAAGAGTCAGTTCAGTATAAAACCTCCTTTTATTAATCGACTTCTATCGATTAATTATCTCCTCAATCTTGATTGAAATGTACGTCTGTACCTTTAACGTTTTTACAACCTGTCACTTTCCCAATGTAAATGAGAGGCAAAAGATACCAAAGGGACATTCAAACTCATAAGTCGGAAAATAAACTGACAACGCCACGGAAAAAGAAAAAAGACCAAAAGGCAAACAACATTATACAAAACACAACATAGAAAACTAAGGATTAAGCAATACGAACCCCGTAAAAACTAGGGGTGATCTCAGGTGCTCCGGAAGGGTAAGCAGATCCCACTCCAAATATAGCACAGTAAAGTTGCTTTAGCTTATACTATTATAATTAATCGTTATATTTGTCATTTTTTCAATTCTTTGTTTCAGTTATAGTTTCCAGATATATTTTGGAAATGCTAATTTTCTGTTGAATTTATTTTCAATGGATACAATGTGATGAACGAAGACTGTACAATGTATTATTCAGTAAATTTCATGAATGGAAAAAACTTAATTCCTGTCACCCAGAGTATGAAAAGCATGATGGTTGATAACATAACATTTAACCGAAGAAAAGTGAGATGCAATAAAAAGGAAAATACTGCCAATTAAACATGATGAAACACGACGAGAGATGCAAAAAGGCATTCTCTTATTTTCTCGCGAAACTATGGTAAACATGGTAAACAGGCAAAATAATTTCAATCGTCACTGAACAGAATTAAAAGGTTAATAAGAAAATCAATTTACTTCAATCCTACAGTAATTTGTCTTGCATGTGATACATACAAGTCGTTCATTTGATATTCTACCCGGATATTTATTATTCGGTTCTAATTGCGCACAAGTTAAACATTTCCTCAAAGGTATGGATTGCTTCGCAGTATCATAAATTAACGCCAGCATTTGTTTTCATGTTTTTGTGATTTTTAGAGAAACCAAACGACAGTTTTTATAAAAAAATTTATTTCAGAAGTATTTATTATTTTTTTCATTTTCGTTTACTTTTATATGGGTTTCAATTTCAATGTTATTAGTAATTTGATACAAAATGCTATATATATAATTCTGATTGAATATTTTTACTCTTTCTAATGTTTTAAAGCATTTCTGTCTGAAACAAATAGATTTTACTAGTTAAAAAAAAAGTGACCCAAAAACAACATTTTTATCGATCGGTACGGTTCTCGAATACCCATACTGTCAGATCATCCATATATAATTTCTACTCCTCTTCTTGACGTGTTCCTAATTTTATAACTCATTCAAGCCAAATGAATCTTAGCAACACCAATAAGCAACTAATGATGACTAGCTGTTGTTAAGTAAACATTTCAAGATGGCGTTTATATCGACTGAAACTAATAGTTTTGCACCGTATTGAGAAACAATTAAATTGAATCATTGATTGTTGCTGGCTGACGGTCAGAGTAAGCATTCTCCAGTCTTTTACAATAACTACTTTTTTCACGAGAAATCAGAGAAGTAATTTATTTTTATTCTTCACTATTTTTAATGTCTGTGGATTGATTTTACAAATAAAAATTCGGTATATGATTAACCTAGACCTTTTCATGTCAAGATATTGAATGTTGGCCGTCATCGCAAGGCTTGGGTTGATGGAAATAAATCGTTAATAACATAAAATGGAATCAATTGTACTGCATCATATGAGCATTTCGACAATACAAGCCTTTTAAGTGATGCTCAATGCTAAAATGTTTGAAAATCCAAAAGTTTATAAAACTTTGTAAAAACCGACAAAAGTCTAGCCAAACCCGGACAAAAATCATAAGTTATACACGAGAGAAATGCATTCCTAAATTTCAGATGATTTCATGTACTTTATAACTATATAAACAAATTACAGTTTACTTTTTTCCATTTTTTAATACCAGTAACGAAGTGCATAGCTACTACGTTAGATTAAAAATACGGATGCAACAGTCAGTCTCATAAATCCTTTTAACCACTCGTTCATTTGATCAACGTATTCATTATGTATAACAAGCTTTAAAAAGGTGAAAAAATTTGCTATATTGTAAGGTATACGGTTATATTTGCGTACCTCTTCGTGTGTTTAGGTCTAGTACATCCATGGATTTCAAATGTTTAAGTAATTTTAGCGTTCCTGGTGAAGATAACCCGAAAAGTGCTTCGACCTCACGAAAGATACCAAAAGAAACATGCAAACTCATAAGTTTGAATGTCCTTTGGTACATTATCCTCTCTTTTTCGAAAATAAACTGACAACGCCACGGCAAATCAAGAAAAAGATCAAAAGACAAACAACAATACACAAAACACAAAACACACTTCAGAAAACTATAGAGCTAAGCAACATGAACCCCACCGAAAACCGAGTGTGATCTCGGGTGCCCAGGGAGGGTAAGCAGATCCTATTTCACATGTGCTAGCCGTCGATTTGCAAAAATGATCAAATGTTATTTTTCTTTACCTGACTTTCGAAAGATCAAATGTCAAAGGTCAAGTGCCCAATATTGTCCGTCACCGACTAATTTCAACTGTGAAGCTGTTGAAATTGCTAAGGTAAATATCATCTAACACTGGTGTCGCAAAATATACTGAATAGCCTTTTAATAAACTTGAAGGCCAGCCTTAGTATATTAAATACTAAGAAGGACGCTCTTAAAAATGCCATCTTTATTTCGATGTAATATTGTTGTACTAGGAGAAATAAAGAAAACAAATCAGTTCACTTTCTTTGAACATTTTTATTTTAGTTTTCTCTGTAAAGTTTTTCTTGAGTTTTTGTGTTAAACTTTGTCTGAGTTTGTCATTATTTTGTTAGATGTTTTTTCATCTTTGTATCGATCTGATGAGTTAACCCGTTTTCAACAGATTTCTATAGTTTGTTCTTATGTTAACGTTGTGCTGTAACACCACTACTGTCTCTAGTTAGGGAGATGGTTGAGTGCTCACAAACATGCTAAACTCCGCCACATTCTTTATGTGCCTGTCCCAAGTCAGGAGTCTGAAGTTTTAATGGTTTTCGTTGGTTCATGTATGTCATATGTGTTTTTCGTAAATTTTGTTGTTATAAATTATTCCGTTAGTTTTCTCAATTGAATAGTTTCATATTTGTCATGTCGAGACCTTTTTTTTTAGCAGGAACTGGGGTTTTCTCATTGTTGAATGCCGTACGATTGCCTATAATTGTTTACACCCACTTCATGTCTGCTGTCATTGGGAACCACTTTTTTGCAAGTTTTTTGTTTTTTATTTGATGTTGTTTTTGTTTTTGTTTTTGTTTTTTGTTTGTTTGTTTTATTTTTTGGTTTTTTTTTTTGTTTTTTTTGGGGGGGGGGGGGTATTTATTTAAGCAGTATTTCTAGTTGATCATATAAATTCAATTAAAACATAAAGACGAGCTAAACGTGAAGTGTAGTTTTGTTAACGAAACATCGCCAAATTCCATAAAGGACACACATATTAAAACAGACCACTGCAACTGGCCAAATAATTGTCGAAGACAAATGGATAGCAAGTGATGTACATCTATAGTTCTTGTTGACATTTCAAACACAAATTGTAAATGTATAAAATATTTTTTTACACATATATATATATAAATTCTGACGTCTATTCAATATTATATTCATAGAATTTTTTCAACTTCCGAGAAATATTAAGTCACTCACTTATATGAGGGATAACTGCCTCTACTTAACTTTTCTTAAAATAATATAATTTCTAGTATCCTTAATTTACTTAAATTAAATTGTTTGCTTATTCTGTAACTGCAGTAGTGTTTTTGTGTTAAGAAACAAAATAAGGTTGGGATAGTAAACCTGATAATGTATATTCGTGGTCGGGTTAAGCAGATTCTTAGACTTGACCTAATGTAAGTTATCCGCCATTATTTTAACACTTTTGCACTTCTTAAAAACTATTAAAATATTAGAAATCTGGTATTGAATTCCTAATGACCAACGAAAATTTTATCAGGTAAAACGAGGTTCCTAACCTGATAAAACGAGACATTAAGAAAATAAAATAAAATATACGCAAAAATTCCTGTTTATTTATTTTCAAGTAGAAAGGCCTTTTTTTTTAATTAAACATTAAAGAAATAGGCAGAAAATCAAATTTCTAGAAATATTTCAAAGTTTTAGCAGTGAGTAGGTGTAGCAGACGACACGAATATTCATTTTATATTCAAGCAGTAAAAATGATTATAAATAAAATTACTCTTGACTTTCCTTTTTTTAATTGTCCGAGTTTAATTAAATTATTTAAAAAACAAGAACTTGGTTCGTTTTTCTGGAATATTACTTTATAACTATAAACTATTTAATTGCAAAAAACTAAACTTTATTTCCTCTAACGGTCACGTGACCAGTTAAATGGCTCTTTACAGGATACGGAGAACCATAATTGAGAACTATGAAATGTCATAAAAAAATGTTTCAACCACTTTCTTGACTTATGATTGGTTGAATCAATATTTCATATGAATATTTGTACTAGACACCTTACAATCTTTGGACATATCTTATAAAGTGGAACGAGTTTGGTCAACAAGTGGAATGGGCACTTGCAAAACAAAATAGAAAAACAGTAAAAGCTGTACATGTCATAATATGAGCAGTATATGTTAATATTACTATAGCTACTAATATTTTCCATTGTAGGTTGTTTTTTCAGTTACAGTTCATTTGTACAATGTTGTTGTTTTCGTGTTAATTTGTAGTTTGTTAAAGAAGAGTAAATGTCTAGCTATATTACAATCTCTCATGAAAAAAGAAATTCTGCTGAATCTTATACACGAAGTCAGAAAGTCGGCATACTATATACAGGCAGAAACAAAATGGATTCCCTAGTAAAATAAAAGTTCTATCAATTTTGTATTTGACTAAGAAGTCAACTCTATTCATGTTTTTAAAGTTTTCTGTAGCATGTTTTTCGAGGAATCGTCAAATTCCAAGGCCAATATTTCACAATCAGTTTTAATGTTTTTTCAATCCCTTGTTGACCATTCAGAATATGTTGCACAAGATGGTCTCTAAATTATGGTACACTTGCAAGTCCTTCTGGTATGACACATAGGCTTTAAGATTTTTCGGACTTTTACCGACTGGATGTTTCCTCCTTCATTGACAGTTTTTAAGTGGATGTTTGTGCTTCACGTTGAGATAACTAGATGACTGACTGGTTTGTGTTTTTTTAGTCAAGTATTTGCTCTGTCTGTATGGGAGATTTGTTTGTTTGTTGATGATGGTTTGGATGACTGGTTGGTAATCATCGGGCTGGTTGGCTTAATAGTGAGTAGAGAGTTCTGGTTTTGCAGTGGCGGAACGTTTGGATTGTATAGAGGTTTATGGCTTGTTTGATTTACTGGTTGTGTTTCTACTTTTATTGGAGCTATGTAAATTTGTTTTTTTAGTTTGGTCACTGTTTTCTTCGGGGTACTGGTGGAGGGATTTTGTCAATTCTGGTTATAAAGTCAGGGGGGATGCTAAGGGTTTTTGCACATTCTCGCTGTATTTTATCAAAGTCGCCATCGATTGGTATTCTAGTTTGTGACATAATGGAGACGTCTGCATGACATGCAGCAGTAGCTTGTCTTATAAAAGCAGCATTGTATCTGTCATCCGTTTTGATAACTGGATCTATTTCCACCCATAACCAAATGGGTTTCGAGTTTCTTACCACAAATATGGCAATAGGGGGTGCTTCTGTGTTCATCTGAATGCTGTGGAGAGTGACGACTAACGGTAACAATTGGTCAAATTCCTCGCTGCATATACCGGAAGATGCCTCATCAAGCTGAATACTAGACTCATTTATGTGGCACTCACTATCCGCTGATTCAATAGTTGATTTACTTGTGTTTTGTGTACCACTTTGGTCAGAGTAACTTGGATGGTTAGCCACGTCGGTTGCCCAGGATTGTCTCTTTCGTTTTGATTCCTGATTCAATTGTCCCATTCTGAAAGAAATGGAACTATAATGATAAGTTTAAGTGATCATAGGGTATTTATAAGGATGGAACAGTCATATATTTTTTATCTGTTTTTATGAGGTTGAGTTTTTATCAGGTAATAGTAGTAATAGTATTTATGAAAAATATCATCATTTTAAATAAGTACTACTGTAATCATGATAATACCTAGGATTGGCATCATGGTTTTGCTTATGTTTTGTTTTCCTTCTCATCATTTTTTACATAAGTATTTTTAACTGAAAATTGGTCAATGGTTAATAAATCTTATTAATGTTATACAAAGGCACTTCTACTCTTAGGTATAGTGGCAGTAAATCCACGGAGCATCTGAGAAAAATGAGGCTAGGACATAATTGGCATACGATAATTAGACTGATAAACAAGGGAGATAACTTTATTTCTTTCCAATATGTCAAAATGTATACACATGTGTCCTTTTTCTTTGAGTAAAGCCTCTAACCGAATATCTAAGATGACCAATCCAATTATTCAACTCTATATAAACACGAATTCATTAAGTCTGGATGTCACAGGATTTCAAATTGTGAACCAGGTTGATGGATTTTGTCCTTTGTACGATAAAAGACAAACAAAGATTCCAGGCTGTAATTGTGTTCGTCAGACGCTGAACGTTGAGGAGAATTGAAGACCACAACATTCCGAAAGTTTTTTGCCATCTTCAGCTAACGTAATATATTCTTAGTTTATATGGTAAACTTTTGCTTGTTGCGTAGAGACATTTTCAACATGTACATCAGATTATTCATTTTTTCCTCAAAACTCCCTTTACATTTGAGGCAATAACTTTGAACGCCAGGTTTTCTGGTTTATTCATGCAGTAATATAGGTTGTCCTACATTAGATTCTCTTTGTTTGGCATTTTGCTCTCGGTTAGTATGTCTGAAGAGGTGACCCAAATCGGCTTTTGAATTCTATTATGAGAGTTTTAACGGCTGTTTGTTCTTATTAATCAGTGGAAAGAATAATTACGCTTCTGTTCACTTAGTAAACAGATTAGATAGGACATATAAATTAATTTTTGTTTTAAAATGTTGAGAGTCGACCAAGTATATCATTAGTAGCTTGAAACGTAGGCTCAATCGTAAGGACATATGCCGTAGGGGCTTTTCAGGCTTCCTGTTGCGTTTGAGCTGCACAATTGTTGCACTTCTCTATGTATTGTATGTTTCATTAAAGGCCAATAGCAACTTTTGTTGTATTCTGTCTAAGATGTTTTCCATGCCAAAATGGCCTATTGTTAGGATAAAATGAAAATATCTTATAGCTTTCTGTCGTTGTGAGTCAGGTATAATTAATTGGAGTAGTTTCTCTGACTAATTTTCTGACCGCTACATTTCAAGAAGACACTAGTGTACTTCCAACCGATCCAAAAAAATGTTGAACCGCCGGTTAATTGAACCGCCGGTTAACTGAACTGCCGGTTACCGTATCTATATAAATAGGGTGCTAACATTAATCCACCATTCTGCCTCTGATGAAGGTCCGTTTTGGACCGAAACCGGTCAGGCTATGAAACATCACCATGCGCTGTTAATTATGTGTATTGGCATATCTACTATATTTTTATGCTATGATTTATAATTCGGGTAGGCTTTTGCTGACTTTGTGTCATACAACCCGCCCCGTACTCGGTATTTTTTTCACATAAAACATATAAATTTCAGATCCTTCTGTTTGCACATAAATATCATTATTCAAATTCGTTTAACAACTTCGAACCTTAGACGAATAGTAACGTATATTTTAGTACAGCATGCAGGCATTAACCAATGATCGTTGACAGAGATACGACCACGAGACATTGATACTACAAATTCCCTAAAAGTTTTCGTTCTGCATACAAAAGTATATCATTTTTTGAATAACCATGTTGAATGTACACCCACCAAACCACTGTGTGGATAAAATTTTATTTGATGAGAAAAATTAGTCTCCTTTGATCTCGAGTTAACTTGTTCAACAGCTAATTAATTAGCCCAAGTTTCTTCTGCATGCTGATCCTTTTATGAAAGAAATGATAATCTGCATTCTTTTCAAAAAAATAATTCCCCCGAGAAATAATCTTCAGGTTATTTGCTATTTCAATTTTATTACGTATACATCAAAATACAAGTTAAAGAATTCTGGTAAACTAAATTAAACACATGTGCAATGGTTTCCCTCTATTAAATTTGGGGAAATATAGCATTAATTTTATTCTTTTATAATTATTCTTCATATTTGAATCTATATGTTAATTGCTGAGAATATAACTGAAAAATTTTCCTTTTTTACTTCACCTCTCTCAAAAATAAATAACTTAAAATAAAATTTTGAATCATCACAAAAAAGTATACAGATCTTTAGATTAATATAACTAAGAAGTGTGTAAAGTTTTGAGCAATAATCATAAATAATTTTTGAGATTCGGCGCGACATGTGAAAAAAAACACTCCTGTTTTAGTTACAAAGTCCCGTAACTCAAAAATTTTTAATCTCATTTTCACCAAAAAGTATACAGATCGTTTTACCATCATAAGAAACAACTATATTAAGTTTCATGAAATTTGGATAAGTTGTTCTCAAGTTACGGTGCGACATGTTTACGCCTGACAGACAGACAGACGGACGCCGGACATTAGTATACCATAAAATTTTGACGGGCGTATAAAAACTGACCGCCACCAAATAGCGCAAAAGTGGCACTTAAAAGGGGCGTTAAAACACCAACAATCAATCAATTAAACTCGCCAATCCGGCTATTTCTGTTAATCTGTTGGTTTAAAATAACAACAAATTCACACCTGTATAAGCGTACGCTTGAGGCTTAATTGCCCTCAGGTAATATAAACGAATTGTTGTACATAATGCTCATCTGTTCGAGAAATATACAATGCCTTTCCGAAATAACAGACGCATTCTACTCACACAAACTTTGCGTTGAAATGAATTTATTATTATAAGGTAAATAAAAATGAAAAATATTTTCAGTTCAATATCAGTAAATAATTTGTCTTCAAAAATATTTGCGGAAAAAATCTGATTTTATTATTTCCCAGCATTCACGAAATCGGGTTAAAACGTCACGACCCAATGAAGTATGTCAACCAAAAAAGTTACAAATACTCGATTTTCTCCGTTATTATAGGGAATATAAATTAATTAATATCGGATTTTCCCTTTAAGTAACCATATGCTGGCAAATTATTGAAGCTCATGTCTTAATCGATAGGCATAAAAATAAAGAGAAAACGTATGATTACCAATAACAATCTACTCATATCCAACTATCGCGGTCATCACGTGACTTTTACAATTCAGTTGTATATTATTAATGGCCGATTGATTATCAATGAAAATGAACGGGCTACATAGATTAAACGACCATAACTTTTTTGTTACATTGTGTATTTTACCTTCCAACCCCGCGTTTTATAGTAATTTCATTTTTACAATTAAAAATGTTTTAAGTTTCAGTTCAGAAATATGATTTCTTGCTTCAAATTAAGTTTGAAAATGGAGGTGACATAACCACACAGCCTCCGTTGACTTCTTCGTTAAAACTCAATAAAATTGCAATGGGACCTTCTTATATGAAAAATTTTCTCTACTTATTATTTGTTAATAATATCCTTCCAACCCCTAAAAAGATCGACAACACATTCATTTAAATGAAATCGAAACCCAAATCAGTTTAGGTAACAAACTTTTTGCTTCAAAATTTGATTGAAAAGTTTACATTTTGGCTTTCGTTAACAATATTTTGAAAATGGCGGCCGATGTCGGTAGTAAACAAAGACACGACATGTATTCATTTAGCAATTAATTAAAAAGTAATTTGTGAAAATATTTATTAAAGTGTGTCTTATTGTTTTTAGAAATTTCTTATTTCACCTTTAATTTAATATATTTATTAGAAACAGTCTCTCGCACTCAAAACAAAGATTCATATGCATCAACCATGCATTGTTTACATTGACCATGTTGACAGCATAGGTCGACTTGTGAAAATATATATTGTAATATTTTTACGATGAAAATAAAAAAACTGTTGGATGCATGCGTTTTCAGTTTTGTCTTACCTTAAAGCAGCATAGAATCAAATATTTTTTTTTTTTTTATAAAGTGGATACATGATTTTTGTTTTGATAAAATTTCGAAGTTACGTATAAAAAAATGGCGACCAAACAATTTTCAAACGTAGACGATGTTCGACACTAATTTTGCCCATGCAAATAACACAATTTAATTTCACTGTTTATATTGCAATTAAATATGACACGTTATTGTCACTCTAATAATACACAAGGACATAGCTTGACTAAGGAGATATTAAGTCATCAATGTGATCAAAGAAAACAAACACGGCACCTAATCACGATGTAAGATCATGTAAGTTTTGACAAGACTTATGTAGATTAGTATGGTCCGATTCTTATAGAAATTATTTTATGGTATTATGGTATCAAAACCCTCTAGTATAGGTCACTATATAGCCTTCACAAATGAGTAAAACTCATCACGAATAGGCCCCGAATGGCAAAATGATTGAATGCTAATCCCCAATTTGAATTGTGAATTTGCGGAGTTTTTCAATCAAACGATCTGTAATAGTTATCCCATGAGGACGCGGTGTGTCAGTGTAAGATCACCCCGATGGCCGGAGGCCAGAGGGTGATCTTATACTGACACACCATGTCCGAATTGGATAACTATTTTACATCCTAGCTGTTTTAGATTAGACGAAAAACCATTAACAATTCATAAAATCTAGTTTAGAACGCCACACAACCATTATAATATACTTTATATATTACTATATAATATATACCCTTTATGACCCACGAACACGATGTTAAAATATGAAACCATGTCAACTCGCCCCACTGGCCAATCGGCCCACACTAAATCGCCACTTTCTAAAAAATCGCCCCACTCTTGTTTCCCAACTCGCCCCACTTATGAAAAAGGGTAAAATGCCATTG